GAAACATCAGTAAACATGCTAAATCAAAGGGGAAAGCCTCACAAGGCTTCAGTCCTAGACAAAGAACTACAGGCAGTCAAGGAATGCTCAGAGGACGAGAAATAGTCTTCCCCAGGGAGAGCACACAGTGCAAAAGCTGGACCCCAGAGTGTTATCTGCAACCCCAGTTGGAGTGAGGCAGGGAGACAGGCAGATTCCCCTGAGATTCCAGTACTGGCCAGCCAGGCAAGCTAAAATTAGGAGCTCCTTGACCAATGAAAGAGCCTGCCTCAAAAAATAAGGTCGTGAATGAGAAAGACACCAGATGCCAATCCCCATGCTCATGTATATATGCATACACCACACACATACATAAATATAGGCTGAGTAACTCTGTTGATACTCTCCATAACGGATTGATATTTTATTAATTTAAAGATATATGTTAAGAGTATTAGGCCAGGCGGTGGTGGTGTTTGCCTTTAATCTCAGCACTTGGGAGATAGAGGCAGATGGATCTCTGTGAGTTCAAGAACAACTTAGTAGACAGAATGAGTTCCAGGACAGCCAGAGCTGTTACAGAGAGAAACCCTGTCTCTAAAAACTGGCAGAGGGGGAGAAAGATAAAGAGTATTAGTGGTAGTAGAATATCTCTGATTCAAGAAGACAATACAAAGAAGCAGAAAGCTGAGAAGATTGGCTTTAGACATTGTCTTGAAGCTCACTTGTATCTTCACAAAAGATATTGTTGATGGGAAAGTTTGGAAAGCAATTGTGTCTGCATTTGGCCCCTTTAACATTCCAATGTTACAGGTCTTAGGAAGTAAACCCTCAAGGTCAGGTGACAGTTATTACTTGCCAGATGACATCGTTCCCTTCACACTGTTCTAGGTGGCCTGCTAGCCCCTCTTTGGGGATCCTATTTATAAAGTGGTTTCCACAAGGCAATCGGAGAAGTCAAATGTTGCCTCAGGAGGTATAGTCATTAGCGCTTTGTGGTCCATGTTAGTCCAATTAGTTGTGTTGTTCTGTTGGGACTAGAACTGTCTAGAATCCATTCCTATGGGGTTCCAGTAGGAAGAGAATGAATGAGAAGGAGAGAAACTCCTTAATTGTGGAAGCTGCCTCCAGCCAGGGTTTCTTTCTACTCTTCCATAGCCAGCCGTATTTCCCCCCTCCAGGTCTGCTCCTTCTCCATGGACCCTCACTCCAGACTACAGAAGCTGCTATCAGCTGGGGTGTCAGCGCCAATGTGGGGCTCTCAGAGGCCCGAGGCCGAGGCAATCTCCATCTTCACCATTCTGCATCTCCAGCTTGATGGATGGATACTGCTTCCAGCCACTTCCCACTGCTGCCCCATGTTTTCCTGCAGCTGCTCCCTGTGTGTCCCTGCAATCGTTACCTGTTGCTCTCCCAGTGGCCACTGTGCTTTTCTGCAGTTGCTGTTACCCCACAGTTGTAACTGCTATCAGGCAGCTGCTACCTGTATTATCTTTGTGTCCTTTTTGTCAGCTCTTTCATTGTATAACAATTCTCTGTATTAGTACCCTCCTGGTAAAATATCTAGCAATTTCTGCTTTCTTGTCTAGACTGAGTGATGTTTAGCTCAACCCATGTAGAAAATGTATCCATTTGACTCCGTCATTACAGAACACTGGTGGGCATTTGCACTTTACATTTTACAGTTGCTTCTAAACCCAAATAAATTTTTTTTCCAAGTTATACCTATGAACAAGTTACTTCCTGACAGTCACAGTGGTTATTCTACTGTAGCATATAATCTACTAAATATGCATTTCCCGACACCACATGCCAGGAATTTAGCTCCCAGGCAGGTAAATGTTCTTGAGAAAGAATGTGACATATAGGTTCTAGCAGCTTCAGCGAGGAGTACACAGCTCATGGGATCCTAGGCTTCAGGGACCATATCTATCCATTTTGAGTTTTCAGAGCCTATGGATTGGGAAATAATTGTGCTCTAAAAGGTTTGACCATTAGTGCTTGGTAGGTACACCTAACGTGGCAACTGTGGCATATCCTGGCAGGCGCCTGACGGATGTGAGTCTATTTACCATTTACTCTACTGTCTTTAAGTCATCGTTAAGGCAATCACAGAGAAGTAGATAATCCAGACAGATGTGAGAAACATAGCTAGGACAAACATCATGAATCCCAAATTGTGTCGCTTTCCAGAGTTTGCTACGCATTACACTTGCTGCAGTTGCTGGGCATTTGGGGTTGATTTAGCGAGGTGCCTCTGCCACCCGTGGTGAGCATTTGCCGTGAAAGTGTCCCTCAGTGGTGGTTGAGGCTTCTTAGGCTATCTGTTGACAGCATCAGTGCAGAACCTATCCCTTCTCCTGCTCTGTGTATGTATCCCTGTCGATGGTCCTTGCAGATGCTGTCTTCTCCACAGTCAAGAGATAACATGCTTTGTATTAACTCCTAACGGGTAAGGTGCCATTCCCTCAGTTATCTGCACTCTCTAAAGAGGCCTTAGCCCGTGGAACTTGGTTAGGATGAGGTCACACCCTTCTGTGTGGACAGTCTGGCTGCTGGCATCAGGAAGGAATAATGATGCTCTACTAGAGGAAGGTGCACAACGCCAGGTACTGTCGGGCTTTTTACATAAGGGTCTCATTTCTCATGTAGTTTTGCTAACCATGGTGATTTCCAGTTCCACATACTTTCAGAAAAATGACATTTCAGTCTTGTGACCAAATAGATCTTTATTGTATGCATACTACACTTACCTGTTCACATGACAGACAGGGGCTGAAGCTGTAACTTGGTTTTTGTCAATAGTGGCACAATGAACATGGATATTCACACCAACTCTGTGGTAAGCTGATTCTTTTGTGTGTACACCCAGAGGCGATACAGCTGGACCGCACAGTGGTTCTAACCAGTATTCTGAGGAAGCTCCACACTGACTTCTGGAGGGTTGCACTCTATTCCCATGAGCAGGACACAAGGGTTTTTCCTGCAGACCTCTATAGGTTCTCTCTCCAGCACTGGTTTTCATGACAGTCACATGGATCACAGAAGGCATGGAATCTCAAGGTAGTTCTCTCTCCCCAAGATTTGTGTATGAATGTTTTGCCTGCATGCACATATATGTACCACCTGAGTGCCTATTGGATCCCATGGAACTGGGGTTACTGATGCTTGTGAGGCCCCATGTGGGTGCTGGGAATTAAACCCAGGTTCTCTGCAAGAGCAACAAGCATTCTTAATGACTGAGCCATCCCTCCAGCCCTCAAGGTAGTTTTGATTTGCCTTTCTCTGATAGACTGTGTTCATGTATTTGTATTCATTTCCTGTTAAGTCCCGTCCAATTTGTCCCCTTACTGACAGGATGCATTTTCTTGGCATTCGCGTTATGCACATGTCTAGATACTAATCCACTAGAGGTATAGCTGGCAAAGGTTTTCTTTCACTGTATGATTTCTTCATTGCTTCCTCTGGGTGTGCAGAAGCTTAATTTCATTTAAGTCCACTTTCCAATTCCATTATTTCTTGTGCTCCTAGAATCCTTTTCATAACGCCTTCTCTTCTGTCTGTATTAAAGCATATTCCATTTTCCTTAGCAGTTTCAAAGATTCAGGTGTTGGTCCATTTTGAACATTTTTATAGGGCAAGATAAGAGTCTAGTTTTATTCTGCAGGTGTATGTCCTGATTTCTTCGTGGCATCTGTTGAAGAGGCTGCTGTTTCTCCAACCTATGCTTTTGGTACCGAAGCAAAAGAGCAGGTGACTGTAGCTGGGTGTGGCCAGTTCTACTAGAAATCTGAAGGCACTACTTCTGCTGACATTTGAAGACATCTCAGTTTGTATTCCTTCCTATGTTACCAACCTTTTTTTTTTCTTTCATGACAGTGCCCTTGAAATTAATATTTGGTACTTTTATTTCTTTTATTAGTTTCAGGCTTCGTGTGTTTTGGTTATATTCAGTCTCCCTAATATTCATTACATTCATTCTCTGTCTGGATCTCATGTACATACCATGGTGTTTAACTTCACCACTTACATTCTTTGACCTAGAATCTAATGCTCTTCAGTACTGAGATTCTTGAAGCATTATTGTTTTTTCTGGGACAGAATCTCACTACATATAGACAGGGCTGGCCAGAGCACTCATGATCTCCCTTGGCTTCCTGAGTGCTGGATTATATACCACCATGTCTGGTGAACTATGCAATTGATGTTTCGTTCTTTACTTTTTGTAAAAAAAACTCTGAAATAGGATGTTGGGTCTTCTGAGCCATTCATTTTCTGAGCTTCTCATTAAAAACTTTTTTTTCAAATTAAAATATAATTACATCATTTCAGCTTCACTTTAATTTTCTTAACCGTTATTTCTTCCATATTTACATTTATTTGTCAATTTATTTTCTGAGAAAATTCCTAATTTTATATTCTAAATCTTCAACTTGAACTACTTATATTCTTTCCAAAAGTTCTTCCTGAAGGGTCTGCTTGTATTGGTTATGATACCACCTTCCGATGTTTCTACTGCCCCACTGGCTGCTCATTTCTTCACAGCACAGGACAGATGACTGCTAGCTCGACACAGGACAGCTTCCATTTTTACTGTAGTGTTCTCGAGTTGCACAGCTCATTAGCAGTAGGTTCTGACATCAGGCTCCTCTTGCGTCTCTCCTCCTGCAGTTAGTTGCCTCCCACATCCTCTTAGGATGGCTGTAGGGGACCAGTGAGAAAAAAGGACGCTGTCTTTGGTTTTTCCTGACCCTGAAGGTTGTCCTCCTGCCATCTGTTGCACGCAGCATTTCTCAGAGGACCCATTTACATATTCCATATTCTATTTAAATGTTATGGTGTGTGGGTGTGCACGTATGTGGAGGTCAGATGACAACACTGTAGAGTCAGCTTCACATAGCTGGGCGGTGGGGATGAAAATTAGGTAGGAGTCAGGTTTACGCGGCAAGTGCCCCTACCCAGTGAGCATCCTGCTGGCCCTGACCCACTAGGTGCGTTGTCAAAGAACAAATCCTTTACAGTTTGCTTGTGTAACATTTTATTACTTGTACATTGCATAGTGAGAAGAGCAGAGTCGGGAGACTCTTGGTCTGGCTCAAGAACTAACCAGGATGAAGTGGTTAAGTTGCTTAACTTGGTTAAACTCTTATTTCCTCATTGGAAAAATGGAGATGATAACATGTACTTTATAAAACTGCTAACGATGAGATAGGTACACATTGTTTTCCTGTCAAGTATCTGGTCAGACTATTTCTACAGCTTGCTACTGCTACCCCCTGTTCATCACCTCAATGCTAACTGTTCTTATAAATGTATTAAGATAGCTGGTACCAAAAGAACACATCAATTCTGGACACTAAGAGTTGCAAAAGAAAAACAAACTAAAAAATGGCCCTATCCTTTAATTTTAGTATAATGGCTTTTCAAAAAAAATATAAAACCAACATCATTTATCTATACTATCCCATCAGAAATTGCAATTTCACTTAAAGTTTTTTTTTCTTAACCCTACTCACAATGAACACCTATGTATGTGAAAACCCAAGATTACACGTGCAGTTACCCTGCAGTTTCCCCATTGGCATAATGTAAGTAAAATACATAATATGGGCAGTTAAATACTTTTCTCCCAAACATTAGGGATCATGATATATATGAAGATTAATTTCTTGTGCATTATCCCTAATGCAAAAAAAAAATCACAGGTATATTATACTGCTTGTCAAAAATACGGTAGTCACACCAGACATTACACATTCTGCCAAGGCTTTTAGTCCACCGTCGGCACTTCTCATGAGCCCTTACAACCATCGGCAGTGGAAATCACAAACTTCCTCTAAGGCAACCCTGCATGAGACTGTGTCATGAAACACTTCGTTAGACGAAACCACGTGTGCTGAACACCACACACTGCCTGTGACTCCTGAAGAACGAACGGCTATGTAAAGGTGAACAGGACTTTCACACATTATAAAAAAATTCAGCTGCTCTGCAACCTTCCTTTGCTAAAAGTTAGAAACATTACACCACTCCAGCAAGAGATTAATAAATAAGGATTAAATATTCTATCTTACAAAAACATACAGAACGGCAATGTCAAAGTGAAAGGCTTGTTTGACAACTTCTTATCAAATTATGTTCACTAAGAAGGAGTAAGACCTGGTATAAAAGGGCAGAATGCTCACTAACCTCTCTCTGAAAAAACAATTACATGAGTTATTTAAAAACCATGGCACCTTGTTACAAACATTGTGTTTTGAAAAGGACTGTGTTTCCTGGAACTAGAGGACTATTTGTCTCATAGCTTTTATTAAGCAAACTTGATATAACCACCACACAGTGGCAAGAGATTGACTAGCTGTTTCCAGCTACAGAAAATACTGAATCCTATCCTAATGTACAGAAGGCAAGTCACACTGCGTCTGTATTGAGTTCCCATAGCACGCGCCTGCTTCAGTGGAGCACACTCATCTTCTTGTCACTTGGAATCCTCTCAGTTGCTTAGTAACTATTTTCATGCCCAGCCAAGATGTAGAGATTGCTGTGTGCTGTGGGGTTTTCTGTTGGTCTGCTTTCCAAAACAACCACCCTGAAACAAAATCAAGAAGAAGTCTAAGTGCTGAAAACACAACCCTTTTCCTGAAAAGCCTGTGAAACCAACAGACTAAATATGATTCACTCTCTCAATACAAAAATCTAAGTTGATGAGCCCTCTAAGAATTTCGACCGGAACTCAACACAGGCTGCAGTGTGAACAGAGTGTGAACATTGCTATTCCACATAATTAAATCACTACAACCGATCGTTACCTGTCTGATCCCAATAAGCGGAAAACTCTCGTCTCATCTGAAATTTCCTGGGTGACCTATGGCAGAAAATACCTGTCAGTCACATTGTAGCCTTGACAGTGCTTACAGTCCTGTAGCAGTCGCTTAGACACAGCAATGAAAGAGAAGGAACAATATAGCTCCCCAAATCAAACATGTCTCAGTAAGCTAGTTTCTGACCGCCCATGAGTAGAAACGGCCCCATGTTCACAGAGCACCTAGTCTCTCCCAGCTGCTTCCCTAGGGAACTCTGTGGGATTTGCTTCTGAGTGTTCCATTAGGCATAAGGTCATAGAAGTCTTACTTTACAGTGAGGTGCTATAGGAGCACCCTGCTATTCATTCCCAAGGGCCAGGCTGCCACCCGTGTTAGATGACCAACCCCTCCTGCGGTCTGCAAAGGCTGCATCACTAAGCACGAGCACTCCCCAAGGAGCCAGAGAGTGGGTGTGACCTTTATCCAGGAAGGGCAGCCTTAGTGCCAACGACTCACTTTCTCCTCTAAAGCAGCCGCTCTAAGGTGAGCTCTACCAAGCCTTGGTGCTCCTATTGGCGGAGCCCTGCTGTGCAGTGGATGCCCACCTGTAGGAACATGCTTTCGATGCACTCCCTCTTTCTGTGTTTCTCACCACATCACTTGCTTTCTAGAATCTATTCCTAGGCAAACCACCTCTACTTGGTTGCTATCTTGGGTTGGCCCTTGGAGGGACTCAAACTATGTGACTATGATTAGTGTACAACAGTCTACTAACAGGAGTTTGTAGTCTATCTGGAAAGACAGAATGAACAAGTTTGGAGCTATATACTCTAGGGAGCTAATTTTCACAGTATGAGGCTGAAGTGGTGTGGGACAATTCTGTATTCTGTCAATTATGTTTTAAATAAACTCTGATTGGTCAGTAGCCAGGCAGGAAGTATAGGCGGGACAACCAGACAGGAAGTAGAGGTGGGTCAGTGAGAACAGGAGAATTCTGGGAAGAAGGAAGCCCATTCCTCTGCAGTCCTGTCCAGACACTGAAGAAGCAGGATGTGACCTGCCCTGCTGAAAAAGGTACTGAGCCATATGGCTAACATATACTAGAATAATGGGCCAATATAAGTTATAAGCTAATACGAAGCCTGAGCTAATGGGCCAATCTTATGAAGACCTCTGTGTGATTTTCTTTGGGACTTGCCAGCCGTGGGAACTGGACAGGACAGAAACCCCAACAAGCAGGCCCCTCACGTTACACTGAAGTACTCTAATTACTGTGGAATGTTACTTTATGGCAGAGGCTTCCATCGAAGGACGAGAGCCCCAGCAGGAAGACAGAGATGCAGAGCAGAGCTCAACTGAGACAAATGCTTTACAAGAGGCAGCAGCACAGCGGGGGAGTCCGCAGAGAGCGCAGTCCCAGACCGTGAGAGGCCCTGGGTCTGAGTTCGCAAAGATGGGAATGACACAATGAAAACGGCATTTAAGAACAGTTAGCACTGCTGGGCGTGGTGGCATGCTGTCATACACATGAATTCTAGGGAAAGCTTGTCTTGAAAAAGCACACTTGGTGACATTCAGTGACGTGGGTCAGTAAATAACCAACACATCCAAAGACCACTGGTTTATACCACCTTTTCTTGGAAGAAAAACTATTTATTTACATAGTTAAATATTATATAAATACGGGGAGAGATGAACTAAACTCTAATACAGAAGATTCCATGCTTTCAGGTAGCGTCACAGATTCATGAGCCTTTAGCATAGAAAATCCACAGAGCTGGGAAACGCTACCATCAGAGTGGAATTCCTTCCTTGGGGTGGAAGCCAGCCCCATCTCCTGCAGCTAGGCGTCCTAAAAGTGACACTGAAGCCTCAGATCCATGCTCTGCTACTTTACCAGTCACGTGGCATACAGAGTGCCTACTTTCTGAGCTTTAAATGTGCTAATATTTGTGAACTTCCTGGAACATAATACGTCTTATACAAAATTTATAACATTATTTATAACAACAGTGTCTTCGACATTTTGGAGTTCCCTGTGGCTACTGGGTATTTAACAGCAAAATCTAAAAGGGAACCTATGAGAGGGGAGAATGCAGGCTTGCATTCTGCCACTTCATGCACTAAAGGCACTAAATGAGGCAGTGTGACTCAGAGACGAAATGCCTAGAGTGGACATCTCACCATTAAAAATCCTGTGTGGGAGTCACAGAGGGAACCCGAGAACACTCACCTCATCGGACTTGAAGCTTTTACCCTGCATCCCATGTTTCCAGAAAGCCAGCACACTGTCTTGAAGGCACACTGAAAAAGACGAGTGGAAAGTGAGAAGGAAGCACAGAGCTCCACACTACAGATTCTCCTCAACTGCTTTTTTAAGAAAAAGATTTATTTTCAGGCTGGAGAGATGGCTCAGTGGTTAAGAGCACTCACTGGCTGCTCTCCCAGAGGTCCTGAGTTCAATTCCCAACACCCACATGGCAGCTCACAGTTGTCTATAACTTCTGTTCCAAGGGATCTGAAGTCTTCACACAGACATACCAGTAGGCAAAAAAACACCAACGTACATAAAGATAAATAAATAAAAAGATTTATTTTTATTAATTTTAATTACATGTATGCGTGCACATGTATGGTGTATGCATGTTTCTGCAAGTGCCTGAAGAGACTAGTGGCAAAGGAGCTCCCTGGAGCTGGAGGTACAAGTGGTTCTGAATTCACGGATGCTGGGATCAAACCCTGTTTGCAGTCTGTGCTCTTAAACACCGAACCATCTTTCTGGCCCCTCCCTAGCTCTTTTTAATAAATGATAACATAAGGCTTTTCAAGCGCTCAGGGCAAAATTCCACTGTCTAGACTATTACTGCTCAACATTTTTTGTGACTAAGTCGTGCCTAAATTCAAGTAATTTACTGAGACTGTTAAGCAGCGTTCAGAGATGTATGTCACCGGCATTCTTCTGATAAGCTGGGCATTGGCATACTAATTTCTCTTCCATATGGTGTATCTTCTATTTTAAGTTATAAAACAATAAAGACATGCAGTTAAGCTTTGGATTTAAAGGAAGTTATTCAAGCAGCTATCAAGCAAGAATTTTATGTTCTTATTTTTCATTTTATAAAATTAAAAAATAAACATGCTTCTTAACCCAGAATCTAATCACACATTGAATATTATGATCTCAGTCAATTGCTAAATAAATATCTTAGTATTTTTACTGGCTATTCTAATGAATAGAATTAGAAAAACACAAACATTAATAAACATAATGGTAAAAAAAGACAGAAAATTATTACTGTCTTTTTCTTTTCTTTTTTCTGGTACTAGCGAGCATATCCAGGGTTAGTGTATGCCAGAGAAGCATGGATTTCTTATTAGAGTAATAAGGACATGGTTACTGTAAGAATGTCTGGGACATAATTCAACTTAATAAAAACAGAAGTATTTGACGATGACAGATCACATGTGTTTCACTAGTTGTGAAACTGAAGTTACTTGTCTTATTTTGAGATATGATTTAAAAGGATTTAAAGAGATGATTTCAGGATCCTTGTAACCATTTCAAGATTTATTTGAATGAGGTGATGGCAATCTAGGAGGGAACTTTTGTATCACAATTAAAATTTTCCAAATACTGTGACACATATGGTGTCAGATGAAGAGGACTTGGGACTGGGCTGGATTCCTGCTTGAGAACATTCTGTGCTAGGAGCTGACGCGCTGTACCTGGTGCATACTGGAGTAAGGAGGAATCAAGCTTCCACAGTCCCTCCAGTCTGGCCTATATTTCCATCACAAGCAAGGTATATCTTTATGAGCTGACCCACGAAAGCACAACAGTTTATTTTTGTACTAGGATAGTGCCAGGGTCCTCGTGAGCTTTACTACTGAGCTACGTCCTGTGCCCCTTACCCTCTGGCAAATTCTAGTTTAATGAGAAACTCAGGTCAGAATCTTCTTTTGGGGAGCAGGGTGTTCCAGACAGGGTTTTTCTATGTAACAGTTCTGGCTGTCCTGGAACTAGCTCTTGTAGATCAATGTCTGGCCTTGAACTTACAGAGAGCCACTTGCCTCTGCCTCCTGAGTGCTGGGATTAAAGGCCTATGCCACGACCAACTGGCTATTTTTTTTAAACAAACCTAGAATGTTTCTAACTAGTTAAAAACAATTTTTAAAGCCATATACAGGTAATTATATGATATGTGTGTGTGTCCTTTTCTTTAATGGTAGAATCATACAATCGTCTAAAATATTTGGATTCTATTTCCCTTCGGGAAAATGCTGACACACCAGCAAAAAAGATGGAAGTGGAATTATAATTATTTGTTGTTTGAGACAGGGTCTCACTCTGCAGTTTGGCTTGGAACTAGACCACGTTAGCCTCAAACTCAGAGATCTGCCTGTTTCTTCCCTAAGTGCTGAGGCTTAAAAGTGTGCACCACTGCACACAAACCTATAATGCTTAAAAAATAATCATAAAATTAATGAGCATGCTGAAGTAAAATACTAATAAGGAAACAAATTAAAATGACATATTCCTTTCTATAACCTCAGGGAAACTTAATGTTTATTTATAATTTATTTCAAGATTTATTTTTATTCCACATATACGATGTTTTGCTTGCATTCATGTACGTATGCCACATGTATGTGTATTTGTTGGATACCCAGGCACTGGTATTATGAATGGTTGTGAACTATCATATGAGTGCAGAGAATCGAACCTCGGTCCTCTGCAGAAGTAACAAGTGCTCCTAAGTGCTGAGCCATCTCTCCAGCCCTGAGATTTACTTATTTTATTTTATGTGTCTGGGTGCTTTGCCTGCATGCATGCCTGTGTATCATCACGTGTATTCAGAGCCTGTAGAAGAAACGGGAACTGGAACCCCTGAAACTGAAGTTATAGATGGGTGTGAGCTGCTATGTGGTCCCTAGAATTGAACCCAGGTCCTCTGGAAGCTCTTCAGGGCTGTCAGCCTTGGAGGCATCACTTCGTCCCAAAGTTACTATTTTTATAGAAACAGATCTAAAACAGTAACCGTCAACACACAGAACTAGACAACAGTGACAAAGAATTACAGGGGACCTAAAGAATGGTCACTTCACACAAGCGCCTTCCTGACTTGGAAAGAGCTGGGAAAGCATAATTCACTTGGCACAACCATGGTAATGAGCCTACTTAAAAATCAACATCCAGGAAACAAGGGCACAGGCAAGACCAGTGCTGTCCACTATGGTAGCAACCAGTATTTTTATTTATGTAAAAAGTCATATCAAAAGGGGACCATGATCAGAGTGAATTAATTATATGTATGAAATTGACAGAATAAAAATCAAAATGAAATTAGTTGAAAATTTAGAAAGTACACTGTGGCACTCGCCACATGAACTAGTGCACACAATAACAGTGTTTCTGTCAGCTCAAGCTATGAGACAGGCACTGGTCTACACAACTCAGGAGAGAACAAGCAAAGTCCCCAGATATCCGAGTCAGTAACAGAAAGGGACTTACCTACAGATTCAATGCGGAAGTCGAAACTCAGCTCAGAGGCCAGCTTCTTACTTGACTTTAGTTTTCCTTGCAAATTTACAATTTTTACAAATTCTTAAAAGAAATTAAAAAAAAGTCAAGACCAGAAATGAAAGTTTTCTAAAATAAATGTAATGTATTTTGTATGGGTATCAAATAATATTCTTAATAAAGTTAAAGATTTACTTTGATTGGGATATGCGTAGTGAAAAATAGGAATTAATGTTTTAAAAGATACACAATTACAGAGATGTTTATTTAGTGAGTGGGATTTTTGCTAATTTTAAAATTAAATAGACATACTGAACATCAATATCTTCATTTTTAAAAAGTGGCTACTTTAATGCTCAAATATTTAGTGATGAGTTGTAATGTTTTTCCTTCACAAATCCCACAGTATCTGCCAAGTAGTAATTGCAGCAATTCCTGCGTGCCACAGAGCTCCAGGTCTCCAGGGCACACTGGGCCAGTGGCAGCACCGCCAAGGGTGGGGAGCTCTGGATGGCGGCATGCAGATACAGCCTCTTCGGCTCCTGTCCTCCGTCCTGTCCCTGATCTCTTCACATTAGCTCAAGCAGACTTGGAAAGCACCCTTTGCTTCTCAACTGTCCATTCCCACGATTTGAGATTACAAGCCTGTCTCCACTGCTGTCTGCAAAAACCAACTGACAGGTCACAGAGCTGGGAAGATAGTTCCCAAGACTACTTCTTTAACAACAGAAACTGGTTTAGTCTGGAAGCAGAGTCTTGCAGAGCATTGTGTTCCTAAAGCCGTGTTAAAATGTGTAACACCACGATAAGCACTAAGCACGAGATCTTCCCTGGATCACTCACAAATGTGCGGGGCTCAGCACGAAAGCCTCAGCCTTCTTAGTTCTTGTTATGCTTATTCGGTCGATGACAAATTTGTATCTATTAGGATAAAAACTGATGCAATTTCCTTCCAGGCAACTTTATAACACTCTTATTTTACTAGTGTTCAGAGTCAAGTCCCTAACCAAAGGACAGCAAGTGAAGCCCTGCATGCTTGGTTCACTCAGCTGTCATATTAGATGAGCTTGTACACACAGGTAGTTCAGCCACTAAGAGCAAGCTAAAAATATACTAGTTATAGTAAATACAGCCATGATAAAACATAATCCCAAGACTGCGTACAGTTCATCCTGCAGTACCTACTGCATAAAGATGAGTTTTAAGAACCAGAGTGCCTTCATCAGCAAAATCAGAGGAACACTGCTGCTAAGCTGCTTGTTTCCCGCCTCCCCTGCTTATGCGCCTCCCCTGCTTATGCGAGGCCACACTTCTGCTACAAACACCTCTCCTGCATCAGTCAGGGTCAGCAGGTGGAGCGTCAAAGGCCTGAGTACATTAGAACTGACAAGCCTCTAAAAGTTCATGGGAAGTGATCTGTGATCCCAGTCTAATGTAACCTTCTACTCATTCACTACGGTGAGAGGGAAGAGTTTCTACAGCAATCTCCTAAGATGTGGGAGAGTGCTAAAGTCCCCACGTGAGCCGAGTGGAAGGACGGCCCCGATGGGGCAGAACTGAGTCTGTGGCTGCTGTGACTTTAGCTGCTTTGTCAGTAAGTCAGGCCACTCACAGAGGAGGAGCTGGAATGACTGACAACTTCATTAAAGGGGCTGCTTTATGAAGTAGTGCACTCAAAATAAACTTTAAAATAATACTCACTGTCTAAACACACCAGAACAGTATCTCTCTCCAACTGTGTCACATGAATGGAATCCAGCTGTTGGCTGCCTGAGAGGGGAAATGTTACAGTTAACACCATGTTTCAGTAAACCAGGGCTTAGAAAACAGCAGTCTGACTGTCGCTATGATTCGTTGATTCGTTCTTTGAAATATGGTGCAAAATGCATTTTGTCAGGTTATCTTTAGAAAAAAAGGCTGAATATCAGTTTAGGAGAACAAATATCAGCTCTAACCTGGATAAAAGGAACTAAAAAATGCAGTTTTGCTTGATTACAAATTTGTTCTGGAAAGGTGGGCTACAGTGACAATGGCGATGAGGGCGAATATGGGAAAGGGGAGGAAAATGCGCACATTGGTTAGCTTTGTTCTGCACTTAGGAGAGATGGAATCGGTCAGGTCCAAAGGAGACCTCACTGCCCCACACCTCAAAAGGCAATCACAGGAAACATGCCCCTAACTGCAGAGGCCAATAGGCTGGACAGGGAAAGGCGAGGTACAGGGGCAAGTGGCTTACTTCTTTACCCCACAGGAAACTATGGCTTGGTCCACACAGGGGTGCTCACAGTTCAGGGCTACATGCCATCAGGCTGTTTGAAACCGACTATGATGGTAGTTCTACTCTTTGGGTAACTACAACCAGTGGCTGCACCCAAAAGGTCTTGCTGTGAAACCAGGCCATCTCTGGGGCATACTGATTTTCCTTTGTAACATATAGGATCAAACACAGTCCTCGTGCATGCTAGTGACATTATGTCCCAGTCTTATTTGAAAGTGACAGTAAGGTGGGATGTTAAACTTTCCTAGTTGGCATGCTTAATGAGCTCTCAGAACTCAGTCTGCAAATTATCAAAGGCCAAGGTGCACCAAATGCAATGCTGAAACAGACGCCCTCTGAGTGTAGAGGATGTGACAGAGTCCTCTCAGTGTAGAGGATGTGACAGAGTCCTCTCAGTGTAGAGGCTGTGACAGAGTCCTCTCAGTGTAGTGAGGGCTGTGACAGAGTCCTCTCAGTGTAGAGGCTGTGACAGAGTCCTCTCAGTGTAGTGAGGCTGTGACAGAGTCCTCTCAGTGTAGTGAGGCCTATGACAGAGTCCTCTCAGTGTAGTGAGGCCTATGACAGAGTCCTCTCAGTGTAGTGAGGCCTATGACAGAGTCCTCTCAGTGTAGAGGCTGTGACAGAGTCCTCTCAGTGTAGAGGCTGTGACAGAGTCCTCTCAGTGTAGAGGCTGTGACAGAGTCCTCTCAGTGTAGAGGCTGTGACAGAGTCCTCTCAGTGTAGTGAGGGCTGTAATGTTGTGTAAGAAAGCTACCACAAACTGCTTCAATTCTGCTTAAAATCACAGTTGACACATGACAAAATAGTATAACAAACAGGAAAATGAGGTCCCCTCTCATTTCATATAGCCCAGATTTAAAATATAAATTCTCCCAAATCCTCTCTGATGGTGATTTTGAAACAGACATGTAATTGTCATTAACCAGTTACCCTGTTAGCCCGGGGTTAGAGAACAACAGAAACTGTTCCTCCTATCCAACCAGAGCTCCAGACTGTCAATCATCTTTTCCCATCCCCCCACGTCTGTGGATTTCCTAGCTCTGTAGCCGAATCTCATGTGATTTCAGTGTCTACAGATAAGAATACATGACACCTGTCCTTTGACATTTCACTTGTTCCTATGTCCTCATTCTTCCCTTGTATCGAGGGTCCCTGATGTAGCCCAGGATGGGCCGGCTCATTATCCTCCCATCTTCACCACCCAAGTGCAGAAACTATAGGCATGTGCCATCACACCCAACACAGGTTCACACTTGCAATGGCTGAGCAATACTCCACAGTGTAGACATACCACATTTTCTTTCCTGACCCATCTGCTGAAATCAATCTAGGGTGATTCTAAGTCTTGGTGATTCTGGAGAATACTGCAATAAACATGTGTGCGGCTCTCTTTCCAGCACACTAATTTTATTTTCTCTGGAAAGGGGTACACACCCAATAGTGGAACTGCTGGGTGGCGCGGTAGTTCTAGTTCTGGTCTTTGAAGCCCCTCCCCAAACTGTTTCCATAATGGCTGCACTAACTGAAGCCCCGTCAGCAGCTCCTCCCTGCATCCTCACAGAAGTTTGTGACTGCTCTGTCTTGGATGGTATCTCATGACATCACTGACTTGCAGCTCCCTGTTGGTTAGCGGCACTGGGTACTGTTTTCATTTGAAAAATGTATTCGTGACTGATTTTTCCAAACTTGAACTGTGAGAAAAGCTTCCAGAGCTTTCACTGAGGTATGTGTAATAAACTCCTAGATTAACCAGCCCATCGAGGAAACATTGAATATTCTAATGTAAAAGCTTGAAGGCCACTTCAGAAACTTCTATCCGTGTCTGCAGAGCACCCAGTGATTCAAATAAAGGCGGGTTGGGGTGGGGGGAGGATACGGGGATAAAAGGGAACTTTCCTGGCTTGAGATACACAGCTCTTTATTTAGTAAGAACAAAGACAAAGTAGTAACAATTCAGACTATGTGTGAGTGTTTGCCTGTATGTGTGTCTGTTACCACATGCATTGCCCATGGAAGCCAGAAGAGGGCATCAGATCCCCTGGAACTGGAGGTGTGAGCCATCTTGTAGGTGCTGGGAATTGAACCTGGGCCCTCTGTAAGAGCAGCCAGCTCCTAACCATTGAGACATCTTTCCAACCTCTCAACAACTCAGACTTTTAAATGTCAAGAAAATTTAAAATGTCCTCAGTAAAATAAATTTGGATAAACTTTCTTGGGCAAGGGCCGATGAGGTGCTTGCTGTCAACCTGATGAGCTGGGTCAGGCAATCCCTGGCACCTATACTGTGAGGGAAAAACTCACCCCTATGAACATGTGTGTTACCTACGTTAAAAAAAAGTCTTTAAGCAAATGGAGACCACAAACTACATGGAGGGTAATTTCTTGGGCTTACGTGAAAAATTATGCTTGCATTTTTATTAGGAGCCCACAATGACTGAGATGAAGTCTTCTGCATCTAGTACAGGCAAAAGCGTGGATATTTTACCATAAAGTGAAAACCACTTACCCGCACCAATTTCTGTAAACCAGGAAGATGCAGAATTCAAGTTGATTGTCTCAAACTGAACTACTTGGTTTGACTCTGTGCCTTTGCTGATAGCTACACACACCATGGGGTACTCCTGCTCTGGTATTACCAGCATTTCAAACACATTCAATGGACTTGGTAAAGGAAAATCAAAATGCTGCAACAAAAAAAAACAAGAGGAAAAAGAAATGTAGCAATCTTCCCTTCACAGGTGTTAGTGAAGTCAGCTGAAAGGGTGGGAGCCACCCTGCCTCAGTCTATACAAGCTCGCCTTTGTAACGATGAGCCTGAGAGTCTTTTCAGACTTTTATTTCAGAAAAATATTCCAGAAGATTTGAAGTAACAGTAAGTTACAGAGAAGATATTGCTAAAAACAAACACACACACACACACACACACACACACACACACACACAAGTCGCACCAACTCTGAGGGCTGTCCCTAAGAGCAGTAATTACAGCCTCAGCCTGCTGTAGTAACACACAGCGCTTTGTCAAGATGAAGATGTAAGAAAGCTCCACGTACCTTTATCAACATGAATTTCTGCATCGGTTCATACCACTGAAGCAGGACAATTCCAGACTGCAAAGCTCCACAGAGGTATTTATGTCCCGTGTAAGGGTTTCTAACTGAGAAGAAAGAAGAAAAAAATAAATAAAAATCCTACCCACATGCACAACACTGACTGATTTTGTGAGAAAATAGTTTAGCTCAGTGACAGCTGAACTGCAGCCATCTAAAAGCTGAGAGGCCTTTCTTTCCTTTCTTCTCTTCTCTTCTCTTCTTCTTCTTCCTCTCTCTCTCTCTCTCTCTCTCTCTCTCTCTCTTTCTCTTAAGACAGGGTCTCACTATATAGCTCTGGGTGGCCTGGAACTCACTCTGTAGACCAGGCTGGGACTGAACTCACAGAGGTCTGTCTGCCTCTACCTCCCAAGTGCTGGGAATATAGATGTGCACCCCCTCGCCTGGCTCAAGTTATTTTTCTTTATGAAGGCAGATGCTGGTGTGAGGAAACGCCAGCGGTTTGTGTTGTGAATCAACACTGCAGTACAGAAGAAAAAGTTATTTGGCCGGGCACTGGTGGCACATGCCTTTAATCCCTGCACTCGGCAGGGAGGCAGAGACAGGTGAATCTCTGTGAGTTCGAGGCCAGTCTGGCCTACAAGAGTCAATTCTGGGAAAGGCTCCAAAGCTACAGAGAAACCCTGTCTCGAAACAAAAAACAAAAAATTTTTGAAGTGACTATGTTTAGTTGACAAGCTACTATCTTAACCCAGATAATGAAAATGGATGGAAATAAAGAAATGTTGCCTTTCATTTTTATTTAAACAAAAAATACCAACTGGAGATCACAGCCACTTATTGCTAAATGCCTTTAATATGCTGAGTACTTAACCACAGGGAATTTTTGATGAGATCCCCACTGCTAGTTCTCAAACATGTACGTTACTCTATAAACTCAAAACCTGCTTCTAAGTAACCAGAAGGATAAAATCTGACAGGTCCAGGGCCAACTGAGACTCTTACATAATGTCCTATGACAGAGCAGCTTGAGGGACAATGATAATTTATCATGTTTATCATGTATGCATGCATTAATTCATCTTGGTCTTTTTTCTTCCCCAGAGTGACTTTCAATAGCCACAACATACAATGATTTAGTGAGCAGGTACTTGTTAAGTTCTGCAGAACTGTATCAAGTCTTAGGACTGCAGGCTTCTAGACCTTTCTGAGCCCCAGATCTTGGCATGATGACAGACACATGACTCTCCCCAAGAAGCAGAAATCTGGTTAAACCATCACACACCCATACATCTCAGCCAGTGACAGCTTGAGTTTATTATGTGGTTCCAGAGACTACATCACTTGGTGACACATCACAATGGCTAAATGACCCAGTGACAAACACACCATGAGGTGACTGACACAGGACTGCAGGCAGAGCAGTGTGGTTGAGTATTTTGTTCTATAGAGTATCTTTCCATGAAGATAAATATGTAAGCTCACTGATCAAGTTAGGAGTTGAGGATTCTTAGAGACTGCACCCAGATCTGATCTAGGTTCTATGACTCGCTGTGACATAATCAGTGTCAAGAACCATTTAAAGGGTAAGTGAGCTAGTTACATAGTAAGGAATGTAACTATTGCTTCAAAAGAAGCCCAGCCCCTAATATTCCTCTCCTGAGAAACACTGCTAAGCCTCTGCAATGCCACGCGTGAACCTCCCATCATTCCTATATCTAACAACACCATTTAAGGTGCAGTCAGCAACACCAAGAGTGACTTTGGGTGGGGCTTTGACTCATGCAGCATCATGGGTCAGCGGAGGCATTGGATGGGAGAACAGCCACGTGGGCAATCTCACACCTTCGTGATGGAGCCCCAGTGAAAACTCTGGACGTCTGAATCAACACCTGATTGGCAAAGCTGTGTGAACTGCCACACAGTCACAGCATAAAGGGACAAGACTGGTGCCCACTACTGTGGCAGCCGCATGCCTGGCCTGGCAGCCCTGCATCTGCCTCATGCTCCTGTCACACAGCTGACTTTAGCCTATACTCGCCCGTGTAATCATGGCCACGAGCATCACTCCTCTCAGTGAGGATGTGAGTCGGTCTGGCCAGTCTCTGACTCTGAGGGTGGTTCGGGGTTAATCCTGACATGAGAAGTGAGGATGGTTTGTGTGGACAATGCTATTCCACAGCTGCTAAGCTCTTACGCTGACTTTCCACCTCACTCCTACTATGAGACACTGAAAGCTGTGACCATCTGGTGTGAGGAGAGCATCGACTCACCTATGCAGCATTTATGGCAGCCTTTTGTATCAGGGATCTTTGTTGTTAAGGCGAATTTTCTGAAAATATAAGACAACATGAATGAATTCTAGTGTGGCCTCCATATGGTGACAAATGAACCAGCTATATCAGAATCAGACAGGAAGGGACTTTAAAAAAAACCACCTTGGACTCCGACTTTGCACTATTTTTAGATTCATTTTATAGGATGAAGAATTTGTTATAAAATTTCCTTAAGTGCTTTCATGCAGGAAGCATGAAGTATTTCCAGTCTGGATCACATGTAAATTAGGAACAGGGAGTTGTTTCACCAGACAAGGAATACAGGCAGCTTAAAAATAAGACACAAACACCCTCACCCCTCCAGGATCAAAATGGCATTTTGTACCTTGGCAGAATGCGGTCAGGAAACCTATGAGTTTGGATGTGGGCAGCTAATCCTGGTTTTTTGGCTTGTTCAAACAAAGCAATAAGATTATGAGAGTAGAGTTGAAAGGTTTTTCCTGTAAAAGAGAAAGAAGTTTCTTTTACTAGAATCAATTTCAGTAGAAAAAAAAAAGACAATTTTCAAGTATAAGAAAATGCAATTAGCTGGGTGTGGTGGTACACGCTTTTAGTCCCAGGAATCAGGATGCAGAGGCAGGTGGATCTCTGCTGAGTTCAAGGCCAGACCGGCTTACATATTGAGTTCCAGGACAGGCAGAGCTACATAGTGAGACCTTGTCTCAAAAACACCAAAAAGAAAGAAAAATGCAATTACCTTCTAAAATGATGAGTCCGGTAATGTTCAAGAATCAAGCAAAACATGTAAAAACACAACAAAGAAACCTAGTTAATATTGTTATAAACATAATGGGTAAAATTACTTTTAAGCAAGTAGATCATTCTGTTTAGGTATATTCTGACAAACAGGTGACCCGGGAAGAACTAATGCAAACCTGTTTGATGCTCATGAAGAAAGAGAAACTGTTAAATACCTGTGCACACATATGGTACAAATAGTTACAGGAGTACACAAAAAACAGAATTTTGTAACACTGAAATTATCTCCAGACCTATATATCGGTAATCCATCAAATTACCTTCAATTAATTGTGAACAATTTTTAAATGCATAGATTGTAATACCAGGAAAAGAGAAATGTCAGTATTATAAGGCCTAGCATAGTAAGGAACAACCCATGCACATCCAATTGTAGCCGTGTTTAGCAGGAGATACACGCAGACATCCTCTGATTCCTCACAAACAGTGAGACAGAGTAACAAGCACCCTTTACTGACAGGAACACACCACACAGGGCATTTTATCCTCACCACAGTTTGTTTTCTCAGAATGGAAACATTCTGGCCAACACAGTACCTTTCTTTTCTCTCCGTTTCTCCATACTCACTGTCTCTGTACCTACACTCTTTCCGTTTTAGGAGTAATTCTAACTACACTACAGAAATGAACTAATCATAGACTATTTCCCACCATCCTATTTTAGTTCATGAAAATATAAGAAGTACTATGTGTGGTTTTAAAGCTGTGTCTGAAAGATACAATGATAGCTAATGATAAAAGTAGCAAGAGTTAAGAAAAGTTATTCTACATCCAAATCCAGAATCGCTGCTCAGATGTGCAGTGGGAGGTTTCGTAGATTGGGAGGCCCAGGTCTGAGAGGCCATGGAAGTTTCCGCAATGGTCTTTCATGGAGGTAGAGCAGAAGACAAGGAGTGGATACCAAGCTGGACTGCCTGCTCAAGGACATGAAGGTCAAATCCCGGGAAGGCCATCTGCCTCACCCTGCCATCAAGGAAGCTGTGACTACTGACTTTTCCTGGAGCATTCCTAAGGGATGAGGTTCTAAAGACCATGCCAGCGCAGAAGCAGCCTCACTGCAGTGGGCCAGCTTCAAGGTTTTTGTCACTACTGGGACTACAATGGCCATGTTGGTCATTGTGTAAAGTGCTCCAAGGCAGGAGCCACTACCATCCGAGGGGCCATCATCCTGACTAAGGTTACACTGTCCCTGTCTGGAGAGACTACTGGGGGCACAAGACAGGCAAACCCCACACCATCTCCTGCAAGGTGACAGGTCACTGTTGCTCTGTGCTGGTGTGTTTCATCCCTGCTCCCAGAGGCCCTGACATCATCTTTGCTCCTGTGCCCAAGAAGCTGCTGCTGCTGGCCAGTATTGGTGACTGTTGCACATCAGCCAGGGGCTGCATGCCACCCTGCACAACTTCATCTTTGATGCCATCTCCAAGACCTACAGCTACTTGACCCACAGCTGGAAGGAAACTGTTCACCTGGTCTCCCTATCAGGAATTCATTAACCATGTTGTGAAAACTCACATCAGAGTCTGGCTCATAGTACCCAGGCTCCAGCTATGGCTACCATAAAGAGGTTTTACACCAGAAAAAGAAACTGAATTAAGCCTGTTAAAGAAAATTCAGAAGCCATCCAAATAGAATTGGGTATGTTTCTTTTCAAAAGAGTAATATATGAATATTTACTAAATGAAACAAAAAAAATTACAGGCTAATCATAATTAAAACAGAAGAACAAAGTACTCTTCAGAGCAGGGGTTCTCAACCTGGGGATTGGGACCTCTTTGGGGGATGGAATGACCATTTCACAAGGGTCATCTAAGACCATCGGAAAATACAGATATTCACTTTATGATTCCTAACAGTAGCAAAGTTATAGTTATGAAGTAGCAATGAAAATAATTTTATGGTTGGGGTCACCGCAACATGAGAACTGTATTAAAGGGCCGCACCACTTTAGAGGAACCCCAAGTCATTTACACATAAGGCTATATAGTCATAAACATTGCTATTAGCTCAAATATAGATTCCTGAAGAATCTCCACCGGGGAAAAATAACAATTACCTACCTTGTACTACAAATGAAATCAATCAGGCGGTTACGAAAGTCTAAGGTGTAAGGAAGTATGTTTGGTGGGTGTAGCGGTTTGACCAAGAATGGCCCCCTGGCACTCTTTAAATGGATGAGAGGTGCTAGGAGGCGTGGCCTTGTTAGCAGTGTGTCACTGGGAGTCTCTCCCTCTGCCTAGGGATCAGGGTGTAGCTCTCAGCTACGGCTCCAGTGCCATCTCCTGCCACGATGATGAAGGGCTAAACCTCTGAAACTGTAAGCCAGCTCCAATGAAATGTTTTCCTTTATAAAGCTTTGATCATGGGGTCTCTTAGCAATAGAACAGTGACTAAGACACTGGGTAAAAGCATTCAAAAAAGTCTAAAGATGATATGGTAAAAGAAAAGTCTAAAGGTATTCAATTCTTTCATTACCACCAGTTACCAAAAAACCCCCAACAATGCTAAAATCAGAACAGGTTGCTCTAGAATCTCCTTGTTTAGATAAGCTGTGTGTGTGTGTGTGTGTGTGTGTGTGTGTGTGTGTGCATAAGTTGTGGAGGCCCCAAAATATGGGCCCATTTCCACCTTGTCTGACAGTCAGAGAGTTTGGAGGCTGCTCAAATGATCGACAAAGGTAGTTAGTTGCCAGTCCCAACTTAGGATGTGATTGCTTGGTTCTTTTAACATTAAATAGCTCATTCAAGTAGGTCCATGCCATCCTGACAGGTGTATGTACTTCTGTTCCTTCTTTTTTAACTATGAGGTCACCTGGGGAAGGGCAGCCTAGACCAGCTTTGCTACCTAGGCAACAGAATGCAAATGATTTGATGTCTCAAGAGTGTTTGAGTGATTGACTGTTTGTCCTTTGTATTATGTTAATAAAAGTCTTTTTTTTTTTATCTCCCCCCACCCTCCACTTATGTTGGGTATAAAAGCTGTGGAAAGATCAACCGGGTGATTTCAGAAATCACTGGAATGCCCTACTGATGTGGGATTCCCCTCTGTATGCTGTGAATACCATTGGTTAATAAAGAAACTGTCTTGGGTCTGCACAGGGAATAGAGGTAGGTGGAGAAAACTAAACTGAATGCTGGAAGAAAAAAGGAGGAGTTGAGGAAAAGCCATGGAGCCACCACTGGAGACAGATGTGCTGAAACTTTGCTGGTAGGCCATGACCTCGTGGTGATGCACAGATTAATGGAGATGGGTTAAATTTAAGATGTAAGAGTTAGCAAATAAGAAGCTAGAGCTAATGGGCCAAGCAGTGATTTAAATAATATAGATTCTGTGTGATTATGTCGGTAGTCTGGGCCGCTGGGAAATGAATAAGTGACCTTCCTTACAACACCCTCCCAGTATTATTCTATGGTTTCTGTCTTATTAATTTTTATGTGTCTCTATATTCTTTACTAATATTTCTAAATTCCTATGCCCCTATCCTGGTAAGTGGTATTTTTGTCAAGGCCAGTCCTCCACAATAAGTACAGATCCATATGCATGTGTAGGCCAGAGGTTAATACTGAATGCTGTTCTTCAGTCAGTGTCTCTCTTGTGTGTGAGACAAGTGCTCTCCATGGTCTCGAACTTGCCTACTAGGCTAGGTTTGCTGCCCAGTGAGCCCCAAGGAGCCTCTGTCTCTGTCTCCCTAGTACTGAGATTACAATTGTGCACGCCACACCCAGCTTTCTACATGGATGCTGGGCATAGAACTCAGGTCCTTATGCTTGTTGGAAAACATTCTTCAAACTGAGATAGCCATCTCCCCGGATCCCTGGATTAGGAGACTCTAAAGCACATCAGTCTAAGGTGGTCACAAGTGGTCCAGAACAACACTTATAGAAGACTTCACAATTTACTTAGCACTTTGGGCAGTTATTTTTTAACCCTCACAACAATCTCAGTAGACTTTGTTTGTTTGTATTTTCAATGTCTCTGTTCTAATTTGATAATGAAGAAAATTGAGGCTATGAGTGGGTTTGCTAGAATTCATGGAGTGTCGCACTGCTAACACTCAAAGGAAGGCAGAGTGCAGCCAGCAATGGTGTAAGTTACGGAAGGAAAATGGGCTCAGCAGATCACCACGATGTTCCCTCCCCCAGGTGTTCAGATGTTGGGGAAGGGGTTTGGGAGACGCAGTCCTCACAGAAGACAGCAAATGGCTGTCATACAGTGTATGCTAAAATTTCATCTCTCTGCTTGCCCATGGCTTTCACCGTCATGCATACCTGATAATGACATCAGCGTGTTATTGATAACGTAGAGCCACGTGCATTTCCGCGGAAACAACTGAAGAGGGGGCAGAAGGAAAAGATTATTACACTGCACAGCTTTGATTCTCTCCTCTTACCCTGTCCCCAAACCCCGATTCAGCCAAGTGCTGCTGGGGACGTGACTCAGTGGCGGAGCACAGGCTTAGCACGCTCAGGGCCTGGAGCTAATCCTCAGCACCATGCTAAACAAAACAAACAGCACTGTGAACATTCTGGTAATTCCTTTGGGAAAATTACCAAAACCTTAAAAGGGGAAAAAAAAATCTTTCAATATGAATACAAAAACAGGTTCCATGTCAGCCCTTAAATATTTAAACCATTAAAAACAAAGATTAGAACCCATATAAATGGATTTAAAGTTATGAGATTTCTTTTATCCAATTTGTGCAAACTAATTAAGTTAAAATTTGTATTACCTGTTCCATAGTTGCTTCATGTAGCTCATTGAGATTCAAAGTGTAAATACCATCTTCAGTTCCAAAAATAATGTACTGATCTGTAACAGCAAGTTAGCAGAACTGCCTGTCATTTCCTGAGAGTGCACACTCAGCTAAGGGCTATATGAGGTGATATTAGATGGCCATCCAGTCACACAGTACAACTGTTTTTAACAATCATGCTACCATGTCTCTTTTCTATGTTTTAAAAAGTAAATAAAAGCGGTGTAAGTCTTTATTATTAAATGCTGCCTTTCAACTAAATTTTAAATTGTTGTTATAGGAGTACATGTTTGTAAGACACTTCAAATACTCAAACATACAGTAAAATATAAACCATAAACCACAACACACCACAAATAATGAACACATTTCTTGTTCAGATGTTGGTTTCTAAATACTGTCACCACGAAAAAGAACCAAAGCTTCCTGGAGAAATGACTGATTCTGAGGAAAAAAACCTGCCATAGCCAGGTAGTAAAGGACTGGTCCCACATGGAAGGAGACCGGCACGGCCACTGCCCATAAATCCTGGAAAAATGTGTCAAAAGAAGCTATAGCAATAGCTGCATCCAACCGGAACAGAAAATTAAAACACCCGAACTGGCTAAGAGGACATGGAATTTTAAACTGATAGACTGGAGCAATCAAAATGAATGGAGGCAGAAGAATATGAATATGGATGTTTCTGCTTTTATTTATTTATTTGAAACACTGTCTCAATACAGCCCAGACTGGTCTTGAATTACATCTTCATGCCCGCTCATACCACCAAGCTAAGTTATGAGCACAAAACCCCCTTACTCCTATGTATTTAAGTTGGATTTGTTTTGTTTTGATTTGAAACAAGTTTTACACAACCAGAGAACACTGAGACTGAAATAACAGCGCCACTGCCTACAGACCTCAGCGGCTGGTTATGACGGTCTAATCCTTAAACAACAGCCCCACTGCCTACAGACCTCAGCGGCTGGTTATGACGGTCTAATCCTTAAACAACAGCCCCACTGCCTACAGACCTCAGTGGCTGGTTATGACGGTCTAATCCTTAAACAACAGCCCCACTGCCTACAGACCTCAGCGGCTGGTTATGAATGGTCTCATCCTTAAACAACAGCCCCACTGCCTACAGACCTCAGCGGCTGGTTATGAATGGTCTCATCCTTAAACAACAGCCCCACTGCCTACAGACCTCAGCGGCTGGTTATAACGGTCTAATCCTTAAACAACAGCCCCACTGCCTACAGACCTCAGCGGCTGGTTATGACGGTCTAATCCTTAAACAACAGCCCCACTGCCTACAGACCTTAGCGGCTGGTTATGAATGATCTCATCCTTAAAAATTAAGGACACAACATTTATGGTATCTCCTCAGCCTCCTTTACAAGCACAGTTCCTACACAGTCCAACAGGAAAGCACCTGCCACAGCTTACCTACTTACTCAGCTTGTCACAGGGCCCTGTCTCATTTAGTATCTAAGGTAATAGTTTTAAAGTTAACAACCACAAGTTACTAATAAAGGTCTTCCATACAGCAAACATTTTATAGGAGGTACATATTATTGTAGTAATACAAGCGGCGGGGCTGCGTCCCCAGCACCCCGGCTGCCTGGCTAGCTTATGCCAGAAATAACAACACACAAACTGTATTCATTTAATCACTGCTTGGCCCATTTCTATCTAGCCTCTTCTAGGCTAATTCTCACATACTAATTTAGCCCATTTCTAATCATCTGTGTAGCTCCCCTAGGTGTGCTTACCGGGAAGATTCTAGCCTATGTCCATCCTGGGTCTGAGCTTCATCGCGTGCGTCTGCCCCCTGGGAGCATGGCGTCTCTCTTAGGCGTCTGCTCCCGAGAGGAGAGCTGTGGAGTCTGAGCTCACTTCCTCTCTCCTCCCAGCGTTCTGTTCTGTTTACTCCTCCCACCTATCTTCTAACCAATGAGGGCCAAGCAGTTTCTTTTTATTTAACCAATGACCTTCCTCCATCATATTATATATATTAATTATATATGTATTAAATTAATATGTGTAATTAATACACACACATACAAAATTCAGAACTTGTACCTTTTGTATCAGGGTGTATCCAGGATGTTGCACAATTAATTTTCAAAGGGCAGCCATCAAATACTTTTGAAAAACATGCTCCCATCTTGTTCATAAAGAAAGAAATAAGAATTACTACATAATTTTAATATTCCTAAAAAAAATCATACAATGTCAAACTCTTTGAAGAAACTTTTGTGGTTTTATCTCAAAACAAAATACAGACTAACAGAACTAAACTTTTTCTACTCAGAATCACAGTCTTTGCTTTCTTTCCATTTTAGGGTCAAAGTATCAAATTTATTGGACATCTACATATTTAATGAGCTGTAGGAATTTTAAGTTATTACTTCAGGACTACATTAAAGTGAAATAATATTTGACTTAATCACAGTGTAATTCCAGAATTATGCAACAGACAAAAAGAGCAGGTTTGTATTCTAACATCAACCATTAGTGAGTATGACTGACGAAGAACCCTCTTCCCACGGCTGACAGCACCACCTCACAGATACACCTCACTCTCTAACAGGACAGAGAAGTGTTAACCTAAACTTCCTCTTTCTTCTCAACGTGCACAGCTCAAGGTGAGAATGGCTCCAGAAGGAAGAAGCCCAGTATTCACAGGACATTCAAATTAAACTGGTGCTTAGACGCTAATATGAGAATTTATGAATTCTCAATTTTGTTTTTCTTTTTGTTCTTTCTCTCCCTACAACTCCCTCCCTCTTAAATATCTGATTGCTCAGATGTAGCCTGGAACTCACTATGTGGGCCAGGTTGGCCTCGAACTCATGATCTTTCTGCCTTAGTCTCTGGAATGCTAAGATTACAAATCTGCTATTACACCCGAATTTTAACTATTCCACTCAAATTGGACTATATAATCTGACTATAGTACATTCAAATCTATCTACCAACTTTATATTCTACAATATTTCTTTTAGTGATTCAATGTACTGACAGGGTATTACTCCTACTGCTTCTAAGGAGATTAAAAAAAAAAAAAACAGCCATCAGGTCATATAAACAGTCCTTACCAAAACTTTTGGGGTGGGTGGAAGGCCATTGATGGTTGGTTTCTGTGGAAAAAAATTTTTTAAAGTAATTTTTAATACTGTAAGAAACCCTAGGTTTAAAAATAAAACTTTAGTAATTTACTGTTTCAGTTATTATAATACTTATTTTTAAATTATTTTAATTTTATGTATATGAGTTGAGGTTTTGCTTGCATGTATGAATATGCAACATGTGTGAACCTGGTGTCTGTGGAGGCCAGAGGAAGGTGGCAGATCCCCTGGGACCGAAATTACTGATGGGTAAGAGCTGTCACATGGGTGTGGGAACTGAACTGAGGCCCTCTGGAAGAGCAGCCAGCACTCTCACTGCTGGGCCATCCCTACATACAAAAGAATGTCTCTGCACGCCAGTGATCTTTCTGCCCAGCCTCTGTAGAAGTGGGACAACAGTCCAGGCCTCCATGCTCAAGTCCAGTTACCCGAGTTACTCCCGCTCCCCCTCTACGTTAGAAACAGCCAGCGGCCAAGCACCGCTGTACTCACAGGGAAGTCCCTCTTGTCCTTCTTCCGAGGTAACTGCGGGGCTTGTGCTGATCCCTCCGTATTCTCGCTCATCAGTTTTGAAATCCCATCACCATTTCCTAAGGAAACCGTGGTTAACGCTGAATGAGCACACAAAACAGAACATTCTCTGACGAGTACCTTTCTTTCCCCATCCTTTCCCTTCTCTTGGCGGAGTCTGTGGAAGCATGCTTCTGCCAAGTGAGGCCATTTGCCCTTGGTCCAGACTCTTAGGATGCTCTGTGTCCTTAGTCTTTTTGCCCACAGACAGTGGTACTCAAGATCTTTTCCAACAGAACTTCAATCTACACTTTCAGTTCTACCTCCTCTTGGGTACCACATGATTCAGATTTTTTTGCATTAGTTTATTTGCCTAATCCTTCTTAGTCTCCAAGAATGCCTAAGCATTGGCTCTCCCTTCTGTAAGGTCATCAGGCCTTTACCAACCTGCAACAACCCATCCCTACCTCCCTCAGAAACGTTAGGGCTCCACTCAAATACAGTCTTTTGTTTTTCTTTCTTTTTTTAGGAAAAACCACACTAATTGTCTTTCTTTTCCTCCCTCCATCATGTTATTTTTTTCTTTTGATTAATTACAAGGAACTTTCTTTTGTTTTGTTTTGTTGAGATAGGATTTCTCTGTATAACCGTCGTGGCTATCCCAGAACAGGATCAGGCTGGCTTTGAACTCACAGAGATCTGCCTGCCTCTGCCTCTCAGGTGCTGGGATGACAGGCCAACATCACCAGTCTCAGCTGTCTTTTGTAATGCTATGTATATAGGTATGACTTCTGCCACAGCCTCTGACACCTGGCGGGGAGGCACATGGGTACTTCCTCTGGACCCCTAACATTTACTAAGGGATTGAACCAGATTGAAATGGTCTGAATCTACTATAGGCCATTTGTGTGTAATTAAAGCACAGAAGCAATGGTTTGAACTGCACAAGGACTGACTAAAGAAAGAAGATATTATTAATAGACAATGGCTTTCCTTCCCACCCGTCTGACCCGCCCACATCACGGTATCTGGCCACATTCCAGAGCTGCTGGCACGCTGCCATACCTATAGAGGCTGTCTCTGTTACAGGAATACAGCTGGGGCTACTCTGTCTTCTGAGAACGTGAGGTGCTCTAGCGTCTGGATCAGGGCAACGTTTGACGGTTGCTGATTTCTCTTCCTCTGGGAGGTTGTCTTCAGGGTAACTGTTTATCCGTGGCTAATGACAAGAGGATAAGAAGATACTCTTTAAGCAGTCACCGTAACCTTCAGCAAAACACTCAAGTGAGTCACCGCTCAACAGAACTCTCAACTTCACATGTGGGTTTTAAAATGAATCCCAACCCCAAATCATAAAACTTTTATAACCAATAAAATTATGGAAGCAGCTGCCAAGTATTTAACAAGTAGAAACTGACAATGACTTAATAAAGAACGATTCTATTGAAATGTCAAATTATAGCAATAAATGATGATGATAAATAAACTTTATATCTCCCACCATACAGTCAAATATTTTTCCAAGAGCAAAAAAACCTGTTTGTTTCTGACAGCTATTAAAGTATATTATTTCACACCAATATTCTTTGCTATGTACTTTGTATTTCCATATCCATTTTCTTAAGAAAATTAATAAACTTAAAAATTTAAACAAAGGCAATGAAATTATTTTTAAAATGTAATTCTGTAAAGAAGGATATATCATTCAAGATCTTGCAGCAGCTCACCTTAGGAGGTAGGGGAGGTGGTACTGCACGCTTAGAGGTTGATCTAGTCAAAGAGAAAACCTCGAGTTAGATGGTCACACACGACTAACACAGACGACACTATCAAGTACGCACTCAAATGCTGACAAGCAGAGGCTCTGAGACAGACAGAGCATGATGGAAACCTAAGACCTCCCGCCTAGGACAGCATCAGCATGATTACAGAAACTACGAAGTGGCACCAAGTCTTTTTCAATTGTATTCTGCTGCACTTAATGTGTAATTCAAATTAAATTCAACTTAATAGAGAAAGATAAATTCAGACTTTGGGTGAAGAGCACATGGTTAGTATGGACAAGGCTCTGGTTTTGTTTCCCAGGAACAAAACAAATGAACAAAAAACCTTCCACTATCTGGAGTCTGTGGAGACTCACTTGGGGCAGACCTTCTGAAAGACAGTGTGTGTTGGAAGGTGAGGGTTCAAGCCACTGTGCTGGCAAAATCAGGGTCCTCAGAAACAAGGGAATATACACACAGTGTTTTTTCTTCTTTCCTCTTTCTTTCTTTCTTTCTTTCTTTCTTTCTTTCTTTCTTTCTAACAAGTTGATACTTGAGAGGAAATGGAGTTTTACTTCAGCCAGAGATGTGCTGATGTGTGTAAGGCAAAGGACAGTGCTGGGAGGCCTGGGAGCAAACCAACAGAACCTGGGTGCCTGGGAGAAGTAATGGCGACAGCAAAACGGTGCATGTCACATTCTAAGCCACCTTTCTGCTACGGCATTGTATACAGAATACATGCGATGCTGTATCCCTAAAGGATTTAAACTAATGAAAAGCAAATAAACAAAAATGGGGTTGTGCATTTATAAAAATTAAAAAATAAAATTGAAAACTTCCCCACACAAGTGGGGTATGGTAGCACATGCCTGAAATCCTAGCAGCAAGATGGCAGACCCCAGGTAGAGCAGGAGACTCAAGGCCAGCCTGGGCTATATGAGATCCTGCCTTACATAAAAAACCAAAAAGCAAAAAACAAACAAAAAACCCCAAACACCAACAACCAAATGAAAATAAAAGCAAATGAAAACAAAACAACCAACAATGAAAGTCAGAATTCTGGAGCCCGTGAGTATGTGTGGCCAAATTATTAACCCTTTGTTACTCAAGGGAGGCCCCTACAGAAGCTGACAAATGGACACTTTGAAGACCCACTGCACTGGTTCCTGCAGCTTAAGAGTTCAGGTGACCAGCAGGCACATCAAAGTCTGAGAGGCAGTGACAGCTCAACGGTCGTGTGCAACATCTTCAGAGTCTTTTCAGTGTAGCAGGAACCATTCATAAAGACTGTTCTACAGCAGGGGTTGGCAAACTTTCTGTACAGGGCCAGATACTGAATACTATAGACTCCAGATGGCATATGGCAGCCACATCCACTGATATCGTATGAAAGCAGCAGCTATAAATACTACATAAAGTGATCAATATGGTTGTGTTCTAATAAATATTTATTGACACTGACATTTTAACTTGATGTAAGCTTTTGACAAAATATTATTCTTTTATTTTTATCCACTCAAATGTAAATACCTTTTTTAACTTAAAATTTTATTTATTCACTTTGTGTGTATGTGTGCACATGTTTATGTGCTCGTGGATGTGTATGTTCACCGTATGTGTGCAATACCTGCAGAGGCCAGAAGAGGACACTGGCTTCTCGGAAAATGGAGTTATAGGCAGTTGTGAGCTGCCTGGTATGGGTGCTGGGAACTAAACCCAGGTACACTGGGAAAAAAAGTAAGTGCTCCTAACTGCTGAGCCATCTTCCTCCCCTCCTTTTCTCTCCCCCCTTGCTTCTGCATTCCTCTTCTCCCCAAATACCATTCTCAGGGGATGGGCAGCAGCTAGATTTGACCCACAGGCTACAGTTTGCCAACCTCAGCTCTACTGGCCTACTATGGGGACCAGAAGTCTATGTTTCCAATGAATTCTCCAGGTAACTGAAATGCACAAACATGGAAACAATTCAGTGACTCACTGAGGCCAGCCCCTCAATTCACTGCTGAATAAAGACAGGGCTAGAATATGAAGAAACTACGTTAGAGAAACAGAATGAGGGTTTTCTGACCATTTATTCCCCAATGACATCTTTTAATACATTATAGTTACACACAATATATACCGACTCAAACAAAAACCATGCCAGGAATGGCAGCACATGCCTGCAACTCCAGTACTTAGGAGGCACAGGCAGGAGGAGGACTACAAGTTCAAGACCAGCTTGGTTTAATGGTCTAATGAGGAAGTGCCAAGCAAGCCAGGGCTATCATGATCTTCTTACAAAGCAAACAATTGAAAAATAAAACAAAAAACAAACAGAAGAAAATAAACAAAAATCCCCCGAAACAGAAGAGACCCTTTAAAAACCTTACTAAATAATTCATGATATTTTCTGTCAATAATATTAGTAAAAGCTATGCACTGACAACTCTAAGACAAATCCTCATAAAAGTTGTTCACATAATCAAGCTATTAATTAGAAAACAACTTACCTGCCTGTATTTGCACCATCCACAAAAGGATTCCAATGGTACATAAAATTTGGGTCTGATGGTAATCCCTGTGAAGGTCACAGTTTAAAATGTTACTTTCACAGACACTAATATTGACCAAGTTAATATCAACCATTTGATTTACAAATCACAATCTGGTTCAAGAAAATCCTAGGGTTGTGGCTGCTTGTTGTCCTGGCATCCAATCTGTTTAAACATCTCCACAATTTGTTCTGTCATGTGAAATATTTAGATCAATGACTCATTATCATTTGATGAAAAAAGAACTTCCCCACATCTACTAAATATAGTTTTCAAACTGAAAGGCAAAAACAAAAAGAAACAACCCACAAAAAACTGAATTATTTGCATAACTACTCCATCAGCCAGGACAATTAAATAGCCCATTAAATATGCATGGAGAAGGCTGGTGCATACAGAAACTGGCAGCAAGAAGAATGCATGAAAATGCGCTTCCCCCCACTCTACCCGAAGACAGGGCTCCTCCGTGTAGCCCTAACTATCCTGAAACTAATGCTGTAGACAGGCTGGCCTCCAACTCAGAGACCTTCCTGCCTCTGCCTCCCGAGTGCCACCACCGCCTGGCCTAGAAAATGCATTTTTATTGACTAAAAAACAGTAGACATTAAGGAACCTTCTAGGCCAATCCTAACAACATCTTTTTATTTTTTCCTTTATATACAGGGCTAACTATGTAGTTAATCTCAAAATGGTATCACGTCTGTTGTGATGACATGGGCCGGTCACCCTGGCACTAGGCTGCTGAAGCAGGAGGGCTATAGCAACTCAAAGGCAGCCTGAGTTACACAGTGAGACCCTCTCACAAACAAACAGGCAAAATAAGCTGTAGTAACAAACATAATAGGAGCAACAACGGTGTCCCACTAACAACCACGTGTCCAACCCCAGATACGATACTTTACACAGAAAAGCACTGTAAACCTGTGCTCACTTCAAACCTAACGAGTCAGGAAAAGGCGAAATCTGAGTCCACGCAAGTGTTTAATAATCCACGTACATCCTTCAAAAGACTGGGAGTGCTGGATTGAGTGGGTCAACTGCCTGCAGCACCATCAAAATTCCTAATTACGACTCCTTCACACTTTAGTGTGAGAACTAGTGTAGAGTTAGTATGTACAAAAAGTCGTTTATATATACTTAATTCCTTAAAACATCTCACTTGAAGTTTTCTCAAATTTTAAACTGAAAATGTTTTAAAGTCGCAGTTACCATTTCGTCCCGGGCTTCTGTTTCTTTCCTCAGAGGTGGTTCAAACTGTAACTTGTCAACTGCAAATACAGAACAGGTGTGTAAATATGGATGCACACGGCCATCATCTAGAACAGGTGTGTAAATATGGATGCACACGGCCATCATCTAGAACAGGTGTGTAAATATAGATGCACACGGCCATCATCTAGAACAGGTGTGTAAATATAGATGCACACGGCCATCATCTAGAACAGGTGTGTAAATATGGATGCACACGGCCATCATCTAGAACAGGTGTGTAAATATAGATGCACACGGCCATCATCTAGAACAGGTGTGTAAATATGGATGCATACGGCCATCATCTAGAACAGGTGTGTAAATATAGATGCACACGGCCATCATCTAGAACAGGTGTGTAAATATGGATGCACACGGCCATCATCTAGAACAGGTGTGTAAATATGGATGCACACGGCCATCATCTAGAACAGGTGTGTAAATATGGATGCACACGGCCATCATCTAGAACAGGTGTGTAAATATGGATGCACACGGCCATCATCTTAAGTGGTTAATTTCAGAAAGGAAATGGGAACGAACATTGCTGAGAGGCAGGAAGAGCAGAGGCACAGGAGAGAAATCTCTCTACTTCTTCTCTAAAACAGCTTCATATTCACCCAGAAAAAGTAGCAATTTGGGACTTCCCCTAGCTTCTATGCTTAATTCTTGGCTGAAATCAGGGAATTTAAAAAGCACTTTTGTATAAACAAAATGTTTACAAGCTATTGGAAGTAGATGACAAAGGCAAAGACTGTTTCCATGGTGTAGACGGTGTGTTAAGTTCAGCAGGAGCTTCACGGCAGAGAAAACCTTGCTGTGCTATGCACAGATCGTCTAAGGAGAACAGTGAGATAACAGGACGGTGTTTATCATCTACGGCCAGGCTCATCAGGCTACTTTCACAATTATTCCAAGTATTCAAAGAGCAATTTCTTTTAGATGAACTATTCTAGAATGGAGAAAAGTCACTTTATTACCTACTTACAGTCACTATAATTAAAAACTGAATGTGAATATAAACGCCTAAAAGGTTTTCAACACTTATACTCATAAAGATACAAGATTTCTAAATACAAGCTTAATTGTTAAAAGGCTTTCAGGTAAGATCTCGTTGCATTTATCCCCCAAAATAAAACCTATAAAGAATAATACAAGGCACTAGCATAATTTGTTATATGGAGAAAAAAGATTGAAACATAATTTTTCTCCTCCTCCTCCTCCTTTCTTTTTAAAAATTTATTTTTTAAGATAGGGCCTGCCATATAGCCTGGCTGGCCTGGAGCTCACTATGCACACTAGGGCTGGCTGCTCACTTGGGACCTTCCTCCTGCCTTAGACTCTGCAGTGCCGGGTGGGATTACAAGTGTGCACAACCACGTCTGGCTGAAAATGGTCAGCATGAGAGGAAGACATTCCATAAAATATGTTCTCTATTAAAATAGCATTCTAAAACAAAAGCCTCTATTCATTAATAACATTTAATATAACCTACACATTTTTTTGAAAGAAGATGTCTGTGTATGAATGTTTTGCCTCCAGGTGTGTATGGTGTTCCCATGAGTGTCTGAACTGGAGTTACAGGCGGTTGTGCATATATCTGGAGACAGCTCTGCAAGCATGGGATTGCTGTGGTGTCAGGACAGACATCTGAGCTCTGTCCAGGGGACCTATGAGCACACACGAGCCTTCAAGAGTCAGCCTGCTTTTTCAGACCTAGGCCAGCTGGCCTTGGTGAGTTCCCGATAGAACATCCCCATTCTCTCAGTGTGTGGGTGCACCCCTCGTGGTCCTGAGTTCCTTGCTCGTGCTCCGTCTCCTTCTGCTCCTGATTTGGACCTTGAGATTTCTGTCCGGTGCTCCCATGTGGGTCTCTGTCTCTGTCTCCTTTCACTGGACTAGCTGAACATAGCGGACAATGAGGAATACTGAGAATTCAAGAACAATCGCAGTGGGTTTTTGATCCTACTGCACGTACTGGCTTTGTGGGAGCCTAGGCAGTTTGAATGCTCACCTTACTAGACCTGGATAGAGGTGGGCAGTCCTTGGGCTTCCCACAGGTCAGGGAACCCTGATTGCTCTTCGAGCAGATGAGGGAGGGGGACTTGATCGGGGGAGGGGGAGGGAAATGGGAAGCGGTTGCGGGGAGGAGGCAGAAATCCTTAATAAATAAATAAATAATTAAAAAAAAAAAAAAGAGTCAGCCTGACTGCCCGGTAATCAAGTCTTCAAAGAAAGAGGACAAGATTTAGATGCTAAATATGGCCTTACGTTGTTCAAGACACAACAAAAATACTAGAGGTGAAGCTGAAACGCAGGAACCACGGGCGGCTGAAGAAGAGAGACTCAGACCATCCGGGCAATCAGCAGACAGCAACTTTAAACGCTTACCACAAACATGCTTGAGACTTTCAAGAAGACAATCTCAGTACAGAAACAGAATTACATTTCTAAATCTGCACATATATGTACACGTATAATCTGAATATGACTGAAGTTTATATGTGGAAAATACTGCACCTAAAATAAAACTCATGGCTTAATAGCAGAATGGGCACAAGAACAAAGTTCCTCTTGTGTGTAGATGTCTCAAAAGCAGAGGGGAGACATGGCAGACATTTCATAGAGACAGCAGCCAAAGGATTAAAACCATGGATTCATGGACCTACAAAATCTAAAGAACCCTAGTCAGACAAGAAGAGAATTGAAGAGAACTGAGTCCAATTGGCATAAAACTGTATACTAAGTGTGTCCTGGCCATGTGCCTGTGATGGATGTAGAAACTGGGGCTGGGGGCAGCATTTCCAGATGCACTGGATGCTCAGTGTTTCGGTCAGTGAGGAAGTTTAACAGGCTTCCCCGCCATTCGGCAAAGAAAACAAAACACAACACTTTGGGCTGTGGAACTGATGACTCTGCAGGAGTCTCTTCAGCTTGTTTAAAACTTTCACTGACTTGCCCTTTTTTTAAAAAGCAAGAGTTTCACCATGCAGTCCTGGCTGGCCCTGAACACTTGTCACCCTCCTGTCTCAACCTTGTGAACTCTGAGACTATGTTCCACAGTGATCATGTGCCTATATCCTGGCCAGGGAGAGAGGAAGAAAAATCCTTCCTGGCACTCATCAGCCAGGGAGGACAAACACAAATCCAAATGCAAAGGCCGGGAGGGAGGTAATTTCTCCCAAGGCCATCCTGCGTGTGTGTCACGTTTCATGGGACAGGCACTCTGAGCTATGCTGCTTTCCCACTGAGACACCGCCCTTTAAACCAGGCTGCCAGGGACCTGCCTGTGTGAATTCATGTGCATTACAATGAATCATCGCGTTATGTCTGGAAGATCTAAGTCATTGACTCAAATCCAGGCCAGACAGAGCTTCAAATGCAGGCACTTCTAAAGAAGAGCTCAGCTACGGGAGCTCAGCTACGGGAAGCTTCAGAGGCCACTCTCAGACCTGGCGCTCACCCTTTCCCATACACGTCTTCACTCTGAGTCACTGGTTTAACTTCCCCTAAACTCTGCCTGCCCACATGCTTCTTCTTGATGGCTAGGATGCCACATGGTTTCTGTGGTGCATTTTATACCACTGCAGAGAATTAACAAATGTGACAGTGTTGGACTAACTTTTTATCCCTGGTGAGTCTAACATTTGCTATGTTATAGTTTTGATGTGACATGCCCATGAAAATCTAGGTGCTAAGGCTGGTTGCTAGCTGACGGGCTTTGGGGAAGTGACTGGCTCATGAGAGCTGTGACCCTAAGATGGATTAATTCAATGATGGGCTCATCAACAGAAAGGCTACAGGGAGATGACAGAGAGTTAAAGGTGGGGCCTAGTTGAAGGGACTGGCTCCTTGGGAGCCGCATACTGTCTCTGGCCAGCTCATGTTACTCCTCTGATGTCTCATCCCCTGTGGTGAACAGTTCCTCCACGATGAACCTTGATTAGACTGTTCTGCCTCACTATAGGTCCAGAAGCAAAAGAGCCAAGTGACCGCGGACTGGAACTCTAGAGACCATGAGCCAAAGCAACTATTTCTTCCTTTGTTTACCTCAGATACTGTGTTATATCAACAGCCAGGTTCAAAAATTATTAATATCCACTAAAAATATACAGTAAGAATACATAGAATGATCATAATAGCCCAAAACAAAGTCAACAAAATAATGGGTGAGTCGTAATATAATACACTCATAAATGGAATATTCCACTACCATGTATTACTAGATGATGGTGAGAATGACCCTCACAGATACGGTTGAGTTAAAGAAAAGGGTCCACGCCGGGTGGTGGTGGCGCACGCCTTTAATCCCAGCACTCGGGAGGCAGAGGCAGGCGGATCTCTGTGAGTTCGAGGCCAGCCTGGTCTACAAGAGCTAGTTCCAGGACAGGAACCAAAAGCTACGGAGAAACCCTGTCTCGAAAAAAAAAAAAAAAAAAAAAAAAAAGGGTCCACTGTGTCAACCCACTTGTCTAAAACTCAAGGTCAGTTAAGACGGAGCCTATGTGACGGAGCCTATGTGACGGGAATCAGAACATCAATTCTCTGGATGGAGGGGAGGGTGGAGGAGTTCAGGAGGGAAGAGTGCTGACTATGGAGGAGCAGGGCAATTCTGAGATTCCAGCTGTGTTTCTCACACCGAGCAGGGAGACAGCCATAGGGGTAGGTGTATCTTTAAATTTTTACCACATGTCACACTTAAGATTTGATCATTTTACTGTATATAAGTTACCAGCTTAACTTAGGCAAACTGAAGCAAACTCCAGAACAGAACTGAAATCTTTAAGCAAGCAAGAACAGAGCCGTAAAACACTCTAATATCTATAAAATGAGAAATGTTTAAGTGTAAAGACAGAAAAAAATCATCAGTAAAGTGACTTCAACTTTATCCAAGGCATACTCAGTGAAATAACCAGCATTCTGAGCACTCATGAACAAAACTAAATCTTGATCGTCACCCCACCCTGCCCCACCGAGAGCAAAAGAGAGAGTCTTTTAGCTAAGACTGGCCATCATAAAGATGCCAACTCTGCTAATATATAAATTTAGTCACACATCTATAAAAATAAAATTTAAAACTAGATACCCAGATTCTAAATGTTATCTATATAATAATCAGATATAATCAGAAGAGCAACACTGTGTGCACCTGGACATGATGAAGAGGAAGCAGGAGTGGGAGGAGAGATGAACTTAACAGAGTTCAGCGGATGTAAGACTCGAAAGTGCTGCTGTACACAGACAGACATCTTAACGGCAACACAACAGAATCCCCAGGAAACAAGTTCTAGGACATGCATGGGGACTTAGTCTTACAATAAAGGACATATCTTAAATCCATGAGAAAAAAGATTAAAAATTTTAACAAACAGCATTGACCCCAAAGGGCTGTCACCCAGGGAAAAGAAGTGAAGCCTAGTCCTTACTTTACACTTTCTAACTTCATGTCAAAGGGGTAAGTAAAAAGTGGAATTGCAAAATACAAGAACACACCACATATGGTGCAGAAGAAATGGCTCAGTGGTTAAGAGCGTGTTAGTTACTCTTGCAGAAGCCCACACGGTGGCTCACAATCACCCCGACTCCAGGTTCAGGGGACCCTATGCTCTCTTCTGACCTCTGCAGCAAGCAACAGGCACATTCAGGGTACACCTACACACATGCAAGCAAAGCACTCATATACACAAATAAAAAAATGAATAAATTAAAACAAAGAATATAGCTGGGTGATGATGCTGTATGCCTTTAATCCCAGCACTTAGAAGGCAGAGGCAGGCAGATCTCTGGGAGTTCAAGGCCAGCCTGGTCTACAAGAGCTAGCTCTAGGACAGGCTCCAAAGCTACAGAGAAACCCTGTCTCGGAAAACCAAAAAAAGAAAAAAGGAAAAGAAAACAAAGAATGTAACATAAAATGCAAAGGCTATAAAGAAAGGACAAATTAGATTACATTAAGAGAACATTTTATAGCTAAACAAAGTAAATACTGCTTTGCCAAAGGAGGTTATCTTTGGTTATCTGGGGCCCTCAGATTTTTTTTTTTTTTTTTTTTTGGTTACAAGAAAAACAAGGCTCTGGCAAGATGACTCTGTAGGCACATAATAAATAAATAAATGATTTTAGAAAGACAACAGCAAGCTGGGCGCTAGCACTAACAGAGACACCGAGTCTCTACTACTGGCTTATCTATGACAAGTCCTGCTGAGCAATGGACAAGGGAAGACATTCTTTTAAAGAGCTAGGAATACTTTTTAAGACAGGTGTGCTGGTTCAGCCTAAAGTCTCAGGACCCTTGGCAACTGAGGAAGAAAAGTCACTGTGAATTTGAAGCTGGCCTGGGCAATACAGTCACCTCCCAAAAAATGAAATAAAATAAAATGCAAACAGCTATTTAATACTTCTCTGTAAAACTTGTAATTGGTTCAAATACTTAGTGAATTATCTTATTCACTATGGTTAAAATATATTTCTATTGCTAGTCACGCACCTCATTTTATTCACTATGGTTAAAATACATTTCTATTGCTAGTCACGCACCTCATTTTATTATGAACTACTTTAATTTCTTGAAACAACACAAATATAAGTCAGAAAACCCAAATCCAAAACTTCTGTTTTTTAAATGCTGCTGAAGTGACAAAGGTAGCTGATATAAAATGCTTGTCTGCTTATGATTAACTGACTAAATAAAAATATCAGAATTCCATTTTAAATATTTGTGAAGAGTCATCTTCATATTGACCTAAAATACTGAAAACCCAACACCCAATAACAGAAGACTATCTCCTATGGCATGAAATGGGCATGACTCAGCCAGCAATGGAAGTGTGCGGCTGCAAAGCCAGCGCCGCAAACACAGACCGCTTCTCTAGCATGTCAAAGTGTAACTTGAGCCGCATGAAATATTCACGGCAAAGCAAGAAGTCGGAGAAAAATGGGACGGCTGTAGGTTATGTGATGATGTGCAATGCAAACTTTCTATTTTTTATTTCTTGTAAATTTCCTACAATGGGAACAATTATCTTTATAATTAAAAACTATTTAAAAACAATGATCAATAAAAGTACAATAAAACTAGAAAAGTAACCTATATTTCTAATACATTCTGAAGTGTTAAAGTATGCAGGCCTCAATTAGACTAAGATAATATAATCCCACAGAAAATATAAGAAAATCCAAATCAACCCTCCAAGACCACCAATGAAAAACACACAGCATACACATACAGTTGATTTCCGAAGCGGTCCGCTCAGCTCTGGAATTCCTGTTTGTAGATCTAATGGTGTGACGAATGACTGCATGGGGCTGTGAATGTAAGCACAACACGTTAGAAATTTTAACAACAAATAGAAGGTTAAATTTTTCTTTTTTAATCGATTGCTTGCCGACAAATATGATTATCTACTAAAACATTTCTTCTAAGAAAAACAATAAAAGTACAATGAACACTCAGATGTCTTAAACGCTTGTTCGCTTATTCCATGTTTACACTGTGAAAACACCAAGGGATTCAGTCAGACACACCTTGACCTCAAAGAGTTTAGTCTCGGACAAAGGACATAGACATGTACAAAATTAGTCAATGGTCAGTGTCATTTAGTTAAAAAAAAAAAGAATTCCTGTTAAAACCTGGACAAGGGATCTCCGCACGCTTTGCTGGGGCCTGAAGTCCAGCAGGCATTGGCTGTACAGTATGTGGAGACACAGTGGACAGACTATGACCGCGTGATGTGGAGACACAGCGGACAGACTATGACTGCGTGATGTGGAGACACAGCGGACAGACACTATGACCGCGTGATGTGGAGACACAGCGGACAGACACTATGACCACGTGATGTGGAGACGCAGCGGACAGAGACTATGACCATGTGATGTGAGAATGTAACACCTGCAGGAAGTGGGGCTTGAGGGTGCTGAAATCAGGAAAGATGAGGGAACTGTGTGGGCACAAAACCCCAAATGTCAGATGATGGCTCTCAGGTTTTTTTTTTTTTGGTTTTTTTTTTGAGACAGGGTTTCTCTGTAGCTTTGGTGCCTGTCCTGGAACTAGCTCTTGTAGACCAGGCTGGCCTTGAACTCACGGAGCTCCGCCTGCCTCTGCCTCCCAAGTGCTGGGATTAAAGGCGTGCACCACCACCGCCCGGTTTCAGTTTTTATTTTTTGAGCAGAAAGAAGTGTGTGGAGATTTTACTGCAAGGGATTGGCAGCACCAGAGACAGCTTTAAGGGGAGAATGAATACATGTGCACCTGTAGAGATCCAGGACTTGTGAGAGTCAGTTTTCTCACTCACTATGTGAGTATCTGGAATCAAACACAGCTCTTAGGTTATTAAGCTTTGTAGTAAGTACCTTTACCCAATCAGATAGCTTGCCATCTCAAAGCTTTACTGATCTTAAGTCTGCAAATAATGATCTAAATATGTGTATGTGTAGGGAATCTGTGTATGGCTGGTTTATTTAATGCTTGCAATTCAAGACAATTTAACATCAAATAAAAATACAGAACTGGGTTATAATATATGTGAAGCATTGAGAGAACAAACATTATCTTTTAAAGATTCTATAAGGATTACATTTGTTAAGCACTTCAACAGAAACAGTGGTGCCACCAATGAGTAGCAAGTCCCCCATTCCTGATTTACATGTTGCACTACTATATATGGTAAACTCAAAATAATCCTACAATATTTTCAGAAGGCATGCACAATAATAGAATACTTACATGTAATTATATAAGAAACTACTGATAAAAAATAATAGAAAGAGTTTCTTTTTCCTACTGAGGATTTCAACTTACTCCTTTAAAATTATCTGTATTTTCTTAATATACATAAATAGAAAAGTTAAAAAATGACTGCCTGAATATCTGAGGAGTCTTTATGAAAAATTTGTGCACATGTGTTGTGCCTAAACCTTTTCATTATGTTCTAAAGGAGCATTCTTAAAGTCATCATTTCCTAGGAAACAGGAGGACCACATGTCACTACAGGGGCTGAGATCTGGAGAGGAGGCCCCTCTGGATCTCCAGGCATGTGTGTAGGGGTTGGAGCAGGGTAACCTCATCTAAAGCTCAGCCAATCAGAGAACTCAGAATGAGAACAGGCTGAGGAAAACCCTTAGCAGGTAGAATTAAGTAAATGTATGTATAGTTCATACAGTTAATAATATTTGTAGCTAAACCCATTTTAACTAAATTGAAGATGTAAATTAAAAAATAAATTCCCAACTGGGTGTGGTGGCTCACACCAGTAACCCCAGCACCTGGGAGGTCGACATGGGAGGACTTCTGAGCACTCAAGGTTAGCTTGGTCTACACACTGAGCTCCAGGCCAACAGGGATTGCGTTATACCTTGTCCATAAAGGCAAAAAAAAAAAAAAAAAAAAAAAGAAAAAAAGGTAGCTGAAATAACAGAACACACTCTAAAGCCATCAGAAATCTCAGGAAGTTCTGAAGCACCCACCTCGAAGTCATCGTCGTCTCCTTCCGTGTAGTGCGCATGGTGGTCTGGGTTGTTCACCTTGTCCAACAGTTCAACTGCCAGGGCCCGAGACAGACCCGACTGCCCAACAAAGGAGTGCTGAGCGAGAGCGGACAGACAAATGTCACACATGTGCCTTCTCCTCTACGGCTTAGGAAAAGAATGCTATTTGTGATTCTTAAGTCAGTAACTTGTAAGACAAGGTAATCATGGCGCCTGCATGGAGTCAGGGAGAAGGCAGCAGCGGAACATCAATCAGCGGACCTAAGACCACACATAATTCAAACACTAGGAGATTAGATGGGAACCACTTCTCTAGGTCAAGTAGTTTAATCCATGTTGGGCTGTAAAATTTAGACAGCTAAGTGATGTGCTCATTTATATATACTAGTATGCAAACGAATACTGTGGGATGTTTCACAACAGTAAAGAAGGCATGTTTTTTGATTATTTGCATTCATTCAGCTAAATTATAAAGCTTTGTAGGCTGTTGTACTCATTCATTTCTCATACAAAGGTATTTTACATATACATGTAAAGCACATTATAAATTTGCATAAGAAAAGCAATCAATTTTAGATGATAGTACTTTGGAGAATTTTCTGAGGCTGAGGTCATCAAACTGTAGTCTCAGGGCAAAATCTGGTGCACTGCCTACTTTGGTAAATAAGTCTTCCTGGGTGTTAAGACTATACCATATATGTACTATCTAGGTTACAATGGCAGAAATGAAGAATTGTGACCAATCTGATGGAAACTGTGCAGTCCACAAAGGTAGAAATACTTAGCATCTGATCCCTTCTAGAAAGTTTGCTGATCCTTCCTCAACAGATTAACATTTTTAAAACATATGCTTTCCTTTAGTGACCCGTCTCGTTCCTACGTGACTGAGTAACCCTCTGTGACCCAATGACTTACGGTCAGAAGCCTTTCAGCAGTTGGTCTTTTCTTAGGGTTCTTAGTTAGCGCTATTTTGACAAAATTATGGAATGTCGATGACCTTCAAATAAAGAGAGCATAAAAATATTTCACTAGTATGAGTTTTCTGCTGTTACTATATAAAGCTAACAAAGGAACAGTTAGAAAGTGAGAAACAGTGTTTCCCCCCTCAGACCTCTTAATTCTATACAGGTCAAAAAACTAAACACAAAACACAGCATGTTCCTTGGACACAAGAGTAGCCATTTTGTCTTCTAAGTAATATGCAGTTGAACAGCAATAGCATTAGACAATCTCCAAATATCGCACTACAGATCAGAAGTGGGCAGATGCATGATTAGAACTTAATCATTCCAGGTGCTGTTAAAAGCCTATGTCCTTTTCTTATTGTCTAATTTATGGAGCATTAAAATATTTTTTCTATGCTAAAAGTTAGATTACATGGAGGGTAGAGAGACTATTATGGGACAATTTAAGTTCTAAAAGAATTTTTGAAATTCATAAGGAAAGGGCAAAGAAAAATGAGTGATTTTAGCAACTGAAAGGATTTCCCTGCTATCTGCATTGATGAAGCAGGCAGATTCTATTTTCATTGCTAATGACAAACAGGTTTCTTTCTGCCACTGTTAAGATTCCCCTAGGGGAGAATGGCTAAAGAACCAAGGAAGTTGCCATAGTAACCAGCAAAGACAACACACAGCACATCTCATCAACAGCAAGGCAATCACTGCTTTGCCCAGGGCGGTTTGTGAGAGCCACTCAAGAACAGTCTGAGGGACTGTAGGGGACCTCTAACGCTAGCCACATCTCTGGAATCCGACCACGAATTTCATGCTGATACATACTACTTGCTGTTCCTGGATTATTAAGGCATTCTTGTCACAAAGCCTTCCAGTTCAATGACTAGAGCACCAAGTACTAGAGGTCACCACAGGGTGACCTGCCTTTCACTCCTGCCATCACCTAGGATGCTCCTGACTACAACTGCACCCACACAGGTTATGACACATAACTCAGGTTGGAGTCTACCGGGGGAGGGGAGACTAGAGTCTGAAATCTCACAATACAGACTGTCTCATCAGAAAAATAAATGGACATGTACATTTGGAGGCTCACAGGCCTTCTAGATATCCACACACCTATACAAAAACTATGTGCGTGATATTAGACATTTTTATTTGCTGGTTTATTTTATATGCTTATCAATTTCTATCACCAAAATTTTCAATTTTTACCATCTAATACTTATGAGCTATAATGATAGTTGTAAAAGGAAGAGGAGATGGAGATGAAAATAAGAAGTAGCTCCTCGAACATACGGAAGGAAACAAAACCAGAAGGACGAATTTTAAGCATCATCATAGTATCTGGGAAACTTTTTCAAATATCACCGTCCAGGAAAGACAATATGCAATTAAAGGATATAAAAAATACAAGGCAATAAAAGTGAATTTTTTCTTCACATATTCATTTCAAACTCCTTCCCTCACACACCGTCTTTACAAAGGACACCAGCACGTTAGGAAAGTGGCTGTGTGTCAACAGCAAAGATGACTGGGAAATACTCAGCTCCTCACGCATGCTCAGACGCACAACCATGCAGCCCTGGGTAAGCTGCAACAGACGCACAGCAGTGCAGCGCTGGGTAAACTCCTCGCCCACACTCACAGATGCACAGCCATGCAGCCCTGGGTGAGCTCCTTGCCCACGCTCACAGATGCACAGCCATGCAGCCCTGGGTAAGCTGCAACAGACACACAGCAGTGCAGTGCTGGGTAAACTCCTCACCCACACTCACAGATGCACAGCCATGCAGCCCTGGGTGAGCTCCTTGCCCACACTCACAGATGCACAGCCATGCAGCCCTGGGTGAGCTCCTTGCCCACGCTCACAGATGCACAGCCATGCAGCCCCGAGTGAGCTGCTCAAAGCTCTGGTTTATTCTCTATAACACAAGGGTACTGACTGCTAAATTCTCCAAGGCTCTATAATCTTTAACTCACCATTTTGTTTTGTCCTTTAGTTTTGGAGGTTGAAAATTACTTTTTGACATTAAGAAGAGAGCCCTGAAACAAAAATTTCAGTTAAGGGCAATATTAAGATACTTTCATCATTGTACTTGACAGTCAGAATGAATACTGTTATAAATCTGTACAGGACGACCTCATGGGAGGGTACTGAGGACACTGCTCAGGACAGGGGTGCTGCATACTTTGTTTTCTGATGACACTGGGGTCATATCCTGGGTGTGGCACAAGCCACACCAGCACTTCTGCTGAGCTGTGCCCACACTCCTTGTCTGTATTTTGAATAGGTTATGGAATATTCCCACTAGCTTTAAAAGAGATCTTTAAATGTCAAACAAGCCCTTATTCATAAGATAAAGCCATAAAATGTCAAAGTTTCCTTACCACAAATTATCGACATAACTAATATTATAATGTAGGCATATTTATATAATCTTCTTTAAGTTTGTAACACAACAATGACAAGTTATTTTAGCATTAACTAATAGGTTTAAACAAAGGCTGGCATCTACAACTGTTCTGGCAAATTATATCCATTTCCTGATGCTTCCTTTATTTGGACAATAAATTCTCATACTGTCTATCCACAAGCTGCCTATAAGGGTATTATATGAATTCACCTTCAATCTATTTTTCTATAAAGAGGACTTAAAGAATTTTTAAAATGTTGTATTTCAGCATTTGCTACAAAGAAATCCCAATCTTTTTACTGAACATAGTAAAGACATTCTCTTTATAAAAATGAAGTAATTTAATAAAAAACTGAAAGTAGGGAAAAAGCCATGTTCTTACTATTGAACACACACACACACACACACACACACACATATGTATATACATATATATAAACCTATCTTTTAAAAGGCTTTTATCCAAATGCTTATATTATTATGTAATATTATGTTTGCTGTTTTCACTACTAACCAAACTCTCCAGGTCCAAACAAACAAACAGCTGGGTCAAGTGCTAAATAACTTGCTTAATAGTGTACAAAGATACTTAGATTTATCACCCCAGTTAATCACAAATGGATAACTCTTAGCATTTTTTCCCTTTAAGGTCTTTTTTTACTTTTACGTGTACTTATTTCATGTGATAGGGGCATGACTGAGGACAACTTGTGGGAGTTGGTTCCCTCTTTCTACTACGTGGGGCCTGGAGTCAAACTCAGATTTCCCATGTATGATTCCCTAGTGTTACCACCTAAACACTTGTACACTATAAAGTACAGACGGAGTTGTCTTCTAGACTGGCTCATGTCCAGTGTGTACAAAGCCATGCTGATAAAGATGAGTATCATTCTAGTCTACGGTGGATTTTCGTTCACTCTGTAGGCCTTTAGTGTCCCATGTGGTTCTTTAGTAGCTGGTACTTGTTCGTAAACTATTTGTGGTTGCTTGAATAAAAATGACCCCATACGCTCGCATATTTGCACGGTTAATCCTTATCTGGAAAGGGCTAGGAACTGTGGCCTTAGGAGGAGGGAACGGAGCGGAGCGGGCTTTGTCCCTGTCAGGCCCAGTGGCTCTGTCTGCTGCCTGTGGATCAGGATGTAAACTCTGATCAACTGCTCTGGCACCATACCTGCTGCCATGCTCCCTCCCTCTGAAACTGCAAGCCCCCCATTAAAAGCTTTCTTTTATAAAGGCTGCTTTGGTTATGGTGTCTCTTCACAGCAAAACAGTATCTGAGACACTAAGCTTGCACAGTCTTTGAATAGCTCCCAATGTAGTATATGCTAATCTGTGGCCAATCATGTATTAGGAGGACATTTCCACCATTTTAGTGATGTTTACGTTGTTTATAGTTTAGCTTAATATATCCTTTCCTTCAAAATATACATATATAAAAAATCTTTTCATGACTGTTCATTTTCTTTTTCAAAAAGAGAATCCATCTTAAAGCATAAACTATTACACTAAGCCTAGATACTTCATTATTCCTTCAACAAAGTAAATGAAAGTAAGAGAGAATTTAACAGTGTTTTCTATCATTTACTTACAAATTCGTATAGGTCAAAAGAGAAACAAGATGAACTGATGGAGAAATTAAAATGAAGACTAAAAAAGACAACAATAACTGGTACTTCCTAGTTTGATTATTGGGGCAAATTTGCATAATGAAAAAATTTTAAACAAGATAGACACCCACTCTACTGTTCTGTTGGTTTAGGAGCAGCTATACAACTGGGAGAGAGAAAGAAAGAGGGTTTGCCTCTGCATGTATGTGCAGAGTGTGTGCATGTGTGCTCACCCCTGAGCAGGTTATATGACATTACATCTGAGTCCCTTATAGTACTTTTACTATTGTGACACATTTGAAAACAAGCTTATAATGCAGAGGAATCAGTATTTTATCTCCCCAAAGTGTTGTAACTAATGAGAACACCTCATTGGATGAAGATCAAACATAGGCGGCTGAAGCTCTCCAAGCTCAATGGCTGTTATTCCGACTGCCCAGATATCACAGAGTTGGTTGTAGCCACCATTCTTTTCCACCGCTGCAACTTCTGGGGCCATCCTAGAGGGAATCAGTGAGCTTTTAGAAATGACACAGAACACACGACTTTTTGTTATACTCACATGGTGTAGGAGGTCCTTCCTTCTATATGTTGTTTATATTGATTAATGAATAAAGAAACTGCCTTGGCCTAATAGGGCAGAACTTAGGTAGGCAGAGAAGAAAGAACTGAATTTTGGGAGGAAGAAAGCAGAGTCAGGAGAAGCCATGGATCCTCCACCTGAGATGGACATTGGTTAGAATCTCTCCCAGTAAGCCACTGCCACGTGGAGATATACAGATTAATAGAAACGGGTTAAATTAAGATGTAAGAATTAGCCAATAAGAAACTAGAGCTAATGGGCCAAGCAGTGTTTTAATGAATACAATTTCTGTGTGGTTATTTCAGTGTAAGCTAGCCGGCGGCCGCGATGAACAAGCGGGACAGAAAGAGAGGGAAGAAGAACCTTACCACCCGGCTCCTCACCCCATTTCTAAACTCATTATTTGGGGGCCAGAGAAATAGCTCAGTGTTAAGAAACACTGGTTACTTTTGCCAAAAACCTTGGTTCTGTTCCTAACACACACATGGTGCCTCACAAACACCCATAACTCCAGCTCCAGGGGATTTGATCCTTTTAGGCCTCTGTGGGCACACATGTGGTGAACATACATATATACAGGCAAAATACCCAAACGTAATAAAAATAACTCTAAAAATAAAAAATAAGTAAACTTCACTATTTAAAAATCTCAACTTCCTATTTTGAATACCCGTTGCTTTAGTCAGTGCTGGTGAAATTGTCAGACTACTAAACACCTTGTGCCGGTCAAAGAAAAGTTCCCAAAGGAGGTGGGACTTGGAGAATGAGCTACGAGGAAGCAGACGTGAGGAGTCTGCACATTTCCAAGGAAACTCGGCAAATGTAGGAAGATAAGGAGGGCAAGCAACGACTGGAGAACAGAGGGGACAGCAGACACCCTGTGAATCTTACCTTGAGAAGGGCCATACACGGCTTGTCACTGTTGGGACTGGGGGCACATATGGTAACAAGCACTCTCTTGTCTAAACACATCGCTAATCTTTGTTTTACAATAAAGATCTGAATGGGAAAAAAAACCCCTCACAACTGAGGGCTTAGAGAAGCAGTTCTCAGCCTTCCAAACGTTGTGACCCTTTAATACAGTTCCTCATGATGTGACAACCCCAAACTGTATAATTTTTTTTGCTGCTGTGTCAGAACTGTAATTTACTATTGTTATGAATTACAATGTAAGTATCCGATATGCAGGATATCTGGTGTGTAACTCTAAAGGGTGCTGAGACCCAGAGGCTGAGAACCACTGGCTTAGAAGGTCTGGAAGTACATGGAAAACAGACTGCGAAGCTAGGTGCTAGAAGTGAACAACCTACTTCTATACAGGAATTTACTTGTGAAAATGATGTAGACCCACTGACTTAATTATGGAGGCAACAATATAAAACTCACACCAACACAAAACCCAGCGTGAGAAGAGGTGAAATCAGGAATGCGGAGGAGCTTTGGGATGGCTGGAAAATGCAGGGTATGGTAGCAGACACATGTAACTACAGGCCCTGGGAGGCTGAAACAGGAGTTATCTTGAGATGGGGTAGCTTCAGCTACACAAAGGATCATTTCTCAATATCCACCCCCCCCAAAGAAACATCTCAAATAGCATCCAAGGTCATAAGGGGGAGGTGACACTGCACAGGAGAAACATTCTCTTTTTATTTTCATTTTCAAATTTATTAATTTATAGTTATATTGAATATCCACAAGTTACTATTCTTTTAAGTGCATAAAACATTACAATCTACCTTTGTTGAGATGCATATGATACCTCAACTTAAATGTGGAATACAGTACATGCGTTCTAAAGTGAGGACATAAATATTTACACTCAGCTCTCTTCACTTTCTCGCTGTGCGGGAGACTGAACCAGGGCCTGAGCGGTCACTAAGAGCTCTGCTGCTGAGCTACACTACCAGCCATTCGAAATGCAAACATTAGAGACGCTAACATGGAAATGTGTTACTGTATGCAAGAGCTACAGACACTGTTGTGGGCACAGGACAAAGGAGAACAAAAGAATACCATTGAGTCAGATGACTAAAGGCCAGTTTGAGTCTCAGAAGGGACAGACCTGGGGCCCGGAAACAGCAAATACATTTCAATTCCTCTACCCGCAGGAGTGAGACTGTGTAGCTCACTGGAACAGCAGCCTGGTGTGGGATTCCCCTCTGTATGCTGTAAATATGCTTTATTACCATTGGTTAAAAAAGAAGCTGCTTTGGCCCATGACAGCACAGAATAGGGCAAGGCAGGAATTCCAAGCAGAGATAGAGGAGGAAAGAAGGTGGAGTTAGCGAGACATTATGTAGCCCCCGGAGGAGAAAGATGCAAGCCACGAGCCGGAACCTTACCAGTGGAGTCTTGTGGTAAAATATAAAATGATAGATATGGGTTAATTTAAGATGTAAAAGCTAGCTAGAAATATGTTTAGGCTATTGGCCAAACGATGTTACAACTAATATAGTTTCTGTGTGATTATTCTGGGTCTGGGCAGCTGGGATCAAACAAGCAGTCTCCGACTACATCAGCCTGACTGACTGTCCTGCTTCCTAACTCAGGAGGGACCTGAGCTTAGCTCAGAAAGCCACCATAGTGTGTGACATAAAGTCACTATAGTTGGTGACAGCTGCCATAGGAGGTGCCAGGAGGCTGCCATAGGAGGTGCCAGAGGCTGCCATAGGAGGTGCCAGAGGCTGCCATAGGAGGTGCCAGAGGCTGCCATAGGAGGTGCCAGAGGCTGCCATAGGAGGTGCCAGAGGCTGCCATAGGAGGTGCCAGGAGGCTGCCATAGGAGGTGACAGAGGCTGCCATAGGAGGTGACAAGAGGCCGCCATAGGAGGTGAGAGGAGGTGCCAGAGGCTGCCATAGGAGGTGAGAGGAGGCCGCCATAGGTGGTAGCAGGCTTTCCTGAGATGTGGTCCATGCAGCTCAAGTAGTTGCAGAAATGTTTACAATGGAGGATAGTCACAGAAGATCTTGGAGATTCTATAGATACGGAACTGACTATGTTTCCATTTAACTTTTATTTAAATAATACCAATTAGGCTTTTTTTTCCAGTTATTAAAAGTGGTGTTAACTGAAGAAAATTATGAATATAGAAAAATCATGGAAGAAAACAAGTTTTGACCTCCATCCAATACAGCAACTGTCTCACATATTTCCATCCACGCTTTACTTAGAGACACACTATCTTTCCTAAGAGCATTCCACCACACATGCTAATTCTGGCCTTGATTCCTAAATTCTGTCCACTTTGAGGTGTTGCTAACAGCTCACCTTCAACAGCATCACTTTTCGTACCATCGCGCTATCCCCAGAACCGACTAGTGACACTCCCTTAGCTTATTCGAGCCACATTTTCTTTCTGGAATTATTCTGAGAAAGCACTTCGCGTACAGAAATGCATGAGCCTCTGATAGATTACCACCAGCAAGAGCACCGAGACTAGATACACACGCCACTCAGAGCCAGGCCACTCTCCCAACACGGTGATAGACTTAGGGATGGGGAGCACACTTACTGCTTCCAAGTATTTCCAAGCTGACTGAAAAGAAAGCCACTTATGAGCTTACCGAGGGAAACATTTTCCATAGTTTATGATTTGTTAGGTGTTATTATAACTGCTGTTGGTAGATAAAGCTTTAAACTGTCAGTGGTGGGAGCAATCTTTTCCTTTAAAGTTTGGCGCCAACAAAAACTCACATCTTTTCCTCTCTCTGCTGTCCCCTGCCTTCCTTTTTTCTAAGATATGGTCTCAAATTCCTAGGTTGATCTCAAACTTGCTTTTAGCTGAGGATGACCTTAATTTCTGATTTTCCTGCACTTTCAAGCACACACAAAAAAAAATGTGTGCCTCCACCTCCAGCTTATGTGGTGTTGGAGATCATGCACACTGGGGAATTACCCACTGAACGAGCTACATCTCCAACCCATAACTCATTCGTTTTTACTTTTTTTTTGGACAGGGTCTCACTGTGTAATCCTGGCTGGCTTGAGACTCACTAGTAGTGCCCACTGGCCTCAAACTCTCAGACCTGCCTCTGCCTTCCATGAGCATGTGCCACCATGCCGAGCCTGGTTTTTACTTTTATACTTAACTTTCCTCTGAAAGAGCAGCCAGTGCTCTTAATCACTGAGCCATCTCTTCAGCCCTCACATATAGTTTATTTTGGCTGTAAAGTGTAAAAATAATTTACACTTTAAATTATTTTCAAAATAATAAATCATCCAAACACCATATCTTGACAAACCCAACTCATAACACAAACTCCAAATGCCACCTGCTATAGCATTCACCACATCATTTTAAATATTAAGGGATTTTGTTATTTTTTTTATTTTGAGTCAGGGTGTCATACTAAAGCTTACGTTACCTGCAAATTCACAGTAATCCTCTTGCCTAAGCCTCCCTAATGCTGAGATTACAGGCATGGTTCACATACCAAGGCTCACACTAACATTTACGGTGAGGTGTTCTGCTAACCTCAACTATTTGTCAACAAAGAAGGCAGTGTTTCAGAGAGATGACTGCGGTAGTTACAAGTAGGATACTTGTTCATGTGGGGCTGCTGGACACTAGTGTAGATGTGTGGGTTTTAGTCCTTGACTAAACAGAAAACTGGAAAGGTACTAGAAGTCTTTCTTTTGAAAACTCCACTCTGTGTAGGCCTTTGCCATGGGGAGAGCTGGATACTGTGAGAACCTAAGCCCCTAACACAATCAACGTTAGGAAAGCATCGTGGAGCATGCAGGCTCTTGGCTTTGATGGTTGCTTGTAGTACCAAGGATCAAGCACAAACTAAAGAAACGAAACTAGAAGGAGAGTCACAGCAGTCTCACCAGTAAGGGGTGCCAATGAAAGACTTTCTCTTTGCAATGGTCGCTGTTATTTTTGCAGCCACACCGAAATCAGCTGCAAGGGAAAAAACACAGCAGAAAATTGGGTAGGGCCTTTTGTTTAAAATTTTTTTTAAAAATACAACCAGCATTTCACATTGGCACAGTCATCAATATTTTACATATTAATGTGTATAAATTTAGTACCAGATGAGTTCATAACATACTCGATTTAAAAAAAAATTTGCCGAAATTTTACTAGAATTAAAACTATACTTTATTAAATTATTTTAATTACAAGTACACTGAAATTAACTTGGGGAAAAAGTGACAAAACTGAAAACATGAGAAAACATACAAAACATACACATGAATTCCTTTAATGCTACTTTTTACAATTTTTTTCTATGTATATAAAATTTTATAGTTGTTGTTAAACATGGTAATAAAAATTAAATACATTATTTAGTTCATTTTTGCCATTTAATAAATCAGATTTGCTCATATTTCAATTAATATTAATGACATGATGAAAAATATTTCACGGGCTTACATTTTTCTACTATAAGTAATATGATTAATAGCTTTATGAATATGGGTTTTTTTATGTATAAGATTAATTTCCTGGAGTATAATTTTACTCCTTCAGGAATAAAATCAGTATATCACAGGGAGTGATCATTATGATTATATATATAAAAATTAAACCTATTCAAACTTAAATATCATTTAATATTTTTGGTAAAAAATTTAAGAATTCAAAATAACATACCTAATTTTACATCACCATGGTCTGTTAATAAGATATTTGCACCCTAAAACAAAAGCACAAATACTATTAAACTAGCATCATAAAATTTCTTTCAAAGCTCAGCAATGTAAATATATTAGATGAACTTACTTTGATATCTCTATGCATTTTGCCTTTAGTATGCAAATAGGCAAGACCCTGAAGGTAAAAAAGAATATGCATTAGCAAGACAGTATCAAATGTCTACCTCAATTATGGAATAAGAAAAACCAGACAGCCTTTTCCAGGGATAAGGGGTTCTTTCAACTAGTTAACGGGATAGTAATGTAACTCACTTTCCGGTAAAATTGGAAATGTTTTACCAAAGCAGCAACGTCACAATTAAGATAAAGAACATGCGATCACGCCCCAAAGAGTTCTCCTGTTGTGCTCTTTGTAACTTCTTATCCCATCAACACTGCTTGTCTCTACACCAGGTTCCAAAGCTATCTGGCCATTCTTCCTGCTTTGCCTTTCCACAGGGATTCCAGAATCAGCTTGTCAATTTCACTGTTGCTTCCACGTCCCCAGACAGACAGGTCAGTATGTAAGCTAGACTGGCCTCAAACTCAGGATTTTCCTGCACCAGGATCCTGGCTGAGATCACAGGCGTGGGCCACCATGCCTGACAGGCTTGCTAATTTCTTTAACAACAAAAAAGGGTTCAGCTGGAATTGGGGTTCTGCCCGGGGAGAACTGATACCTTCTGAGCACTAAGCTCCTACCCCATGGACAGCACAGTTATCTGCTCAGTTAGGCCTTTAATTCTCTCAGCTACTGTGTGGTTTTAGTACACAGTGTTTATGTTCTTCTGCTGTATTTATCCATGAGAATGTCATATCCCTTATGCTACTGTACGTAGTTTTCTCATTAAACTTTAATTCCTAATTCTGAAATCCACTTGACTTTTGAAAAGCCACCAGAAGCGTGCCAGTGTGGGTTCAGCTAACTTGTTTGCTCTAGTGGCCCCCTGTAGCCTCCCTCCCGTTTTCAATGGAAATGATTATGCAGCCTTGGGAATGAAGAGCTCTGCTTGCTATTTTCAAAACTAGATTCCTTTTTATTTCATTCTTTTTTCTTTTCACACTATGAGAAGCCTGGACGGACTACAAGGCTGGAATGGACATCTTTGTCTTGTTGTATCAGGAGAAAGGAAGACCTGACCACAGCATTTTCATAGATACTCTGCACTGAGTTAACCAATGTTAACTTTCAATGTGCCATGCCTGAATGTCTACATTTTATTTTTAAGTCAATTTCCAAGGCAGCCGTTTTCCTTCCAGCTTTTCCTACATTTTGAGTGTTGGCTGGGCCGCTCCTCCTCTCTCTCTTTCCTCAGTTTCCTACCACATTCTAAAGCGTCTCACCCCCTTCCCGCTATTCCATTTTACCTTCATATATACAATGTTCTCCTCCCCCTGCCTCCCAAAGCCCTTCACTCTCAGGGCTCCTTCCCAGTTTCCTGGTCTCTTTAGAGGCCATACCCACACAAACACACATATAAAGACCAGAAGCTAGGGCCCACATACAAAAGAGAAACATGCAGTATTTGTCTTTCTGTATGCTCAGAAAGTTATTGGGAATAAGCGCTGGATTTCACTAAATGGTCCTTTAGCTGACGATGCAGCTTTCTCTAAAGTTTATTCAGGGTCATTTACTGTAAATGAACACTACTTTCTAGGACCATCCACTTTTTATATAATATCTGCTTTTACATCTTGTTGGATTACCTTGGGAACTTATTTAAATGGCTTTTGTGTATGTTGTTGCATGTTTTATGGCATAACTGCCTTTAAGTGATTTGTGGAATTTCAAATCTTGTATCTGTCCACCTTCCCATTCTTTTTTTAAATGATTTATTTTTATTTTATGTGCATTTGTGTTTTGCCTGCATGTATGTATGTTTGTGTGAGGGTACCAAATGACTTGGAGCTAGAGTCTAGACAGTTCTGAGCTACCACGTGGGTGCTGGAGGTCCTCTTAAAAAGCAACAGTGCTCTTAACCACTGAGTTATCTCTCTAGCCCCTGCCTTCCAACTCTTGATCCACATGAAACTATCATCACAGAAGTAAGATATGGCAGAAGCCCCCATGCTTCTGTGGGAGCATCCTGTTGACAGCCAGAAAGCTTGGGGTGAAGGTTAAACAAGTCATCAACTGACAGGTCCACAGACTCATTCAGGGTAAACAATTCATAGGTATAATTTTCCTTATGTGGTAGCAACCCATGCCACTGAAGTCCACTACCACAGATGAACATCAGTATTAAAAAATAAAATAAAATAAATGCAATCATTGAACTTCTCAATGGCTGTTTAAATAAATTCTTGTACATCATTCATGGAAAAGTTAGTAGCTTTACAAAATTAAAACATGGAAACTGGATTGGGATATTATTACTACTATTTTAGCTCTTTAGATTTTGGGCAAACCATCATTCACAATTACTAGGTATGAAACTGCTGCCTTTCTAGCTACTTAAGCGAATACATTACCTGCAACGTCTCTCTGCATACATAGGCTATTTGCAATTCAGATAATGGTCCAGTAACTGGAAAGAAAGAACAAAAAAACTCATTGTCACTGGATGCTAATGTTAAACAGTCTAGCTGCAAAACAATGAAGCAGCGTACAACTTCTGCTTGCACCACTGGGCGACTCCTCCTCTGACTACAAAGCAGACAGCATCTGTGTAAGGAATGAAGCACTGGGTATTTAAAATCTATTTTGAAAATAAGAGGTTTATTCCCTGACAACTCTGGACAGTGAAAACGTACAGTTTCCTTATGTGCAAAGCTAATCACAAGCGCCACAGTGAAGCCAAGGCTGGAGGCTAAACACAGTCTCAGAAACGGGCAACAACAGGCCTTGCCCGTATGTGAATTACATGTCTAGAGGCACAGAGCAACGTGCTGGGACTCACTGATGAGTACACACAGTTTAGAGACTGAGGTACTCTTTCTAGTACAATTAATTCTTCACACATCTCTCAGAATGCTGAGACTTGGTCCAGTATCTTACTGAGGAGTCAAACGTAACCAGATTATTTCTGGAAAGCAGACCTTTCTCTGATGTGAAATATAAAATCCCTTAGCAACTATCCAGTCAGGGGCTTCCAATCATTGCTCTTCAGTGTGTGAGAAGAAATCTGGGGTTCTGCCTGCTGACGGTGAGATCCAAACTAGAACTGACCACCAGTCTCTGCACAGAGGGTAACTCACTGGTTGCTGGCTGGCTTCATCTACTTGGAATTACAAAGTTTGATTTTTTATATATTGATGAAGTAGTAAGGCAAGAAGTGATGCCATTTTACTAACAGCATCTGACTGATACATGTGCACACACACCTATCTTTCTTAAATCAAGTCTCGCTACATAGCCCGGGCTTGCCTGGAACTCACTTCTCTCTATGTGGATCAGGCTGGCCTTGAACTCAGAGATCTGCCTATGTGCAGACAATTTTTTTAACTGTGCTTTTTTAGTATACTACTTAAAGGAATAATACTCCTTAAATTCAATTTAAGAAAAATGATAACCAGGTTTTAATTTTGCATGTGTCTGGGGAAAGATAGAATAATGTTAGAGAGTAAATTTAGCCGGGCGCGGTGGCGCACGCCTGTAGTCCCAGCTACTCGAGAGTAAATTTACCCAAATCATTCCCCTTGCTATCTAGAAATGTCAAACAACAACCATAAAAGCCAAGGTAGAGCTTAAGATGTAAAACTGTATTAACAGTACCATGATAAATATCTTGAAGGGATCCGCCACCGCAGTATTCCATGCAAATCCACAGTTTTTCCCTACTACAACGAGAGAGAAAGAAAATTACAGCAGCCTGTAATTCCCAACTACTGACGTCCACATGTTCAGCCCCGCAGCCTCACAGCACACTGGAGTCAGGATGCTCTGCGGAAGGCAACAGGAGCCTCCAGGGCAATCCTTCCTCAACACACACCAGAGCACATCAGTTTCAGCTTTGTGTCAATCTGAAAAAGGTTAGGACATGATCTGTTTTCTGTTATCATTGTTCATAATGATCCATTAAGGCTGCCAGACAAGGCAGGGCCTCAGGAACAGAGGTGCTAGTGTGAGCACAGCAGGCAGATGGCAGTGCGCCCTCCTGGATTTAGAATTCTGGACAATGTTTTCAGCATGCACAGCGAAGGCCTTAACACAGAGGGAGAGAGACAGGAAAGAAAGAGACTAGGAAAACTAGATCAAGAGATGGCGCTTCTGGATTTTTACCTGAGATAGCTCCCAAAGTAGGCTACGATGTTGCAATGCTTACATTCTTTAACCATATATATTTCTTGTTGAATCAAAGAAAAATCATCACCTGAAAAACAAAATAAGTTGGTCACCAAGTTACTCCAAATATGACGAAATTGCAGCTGTTGGAAGGAATACTCTGTAGATACCTGTCATGCCCATTAGATCTGTGGTATAGTTTACGTCTTTTATCTGTACGTTATATACATTATGTAACCTCATGCACGCTAGGCTGCTCCCACCACTGAGCATCATCCATCTCTTGGTTAACATTTCTGTGGTGTTCTACACGTTTAATGAACGTGGGATAATGAAGTCACCCACTACTTTGACTTGAGCAGAGTGAGAATTTGTGTGCATGCCTTTGAAGTTCAGAGATCAATGTTGGGTGTCTTCCTCTATCTCTTTCCACTTTCCTTTTTTTTTTTTTTTTTTTTTTTTTTTTAAAAAAAAAGACCGGGTTTCTCGATGGCTTTGGAGCCTGTCCTGGAACTAGCTCTTGTAAATGAGGCTGGTCCCAAACTTGCAGAGATCCACCTGCCTCTATCTCCCGAGTGCTGGGATTAAAGGTGTGTGCCATCATCGCCTGGCTTCCACTTTCTTTTTTAAACAGGTTTCTTTCTGAACCCGAAGCTTGCTGACTAACAAGGTGAGCTTGCCCATGACTCCCAGGGGTATCTCCTTCCTCCAGTACTGGGGCACAGGCACACCACCAGCAACAGCTTCTTTTATGTGGATGCTAGGGCTTCAAACTCAGGTACCCACTCTAGGATGACAAGCTATTTACCCACTGAGCCTACCTCCAGCCTCAGAGTCACCACTACTATTGTATGAACTTCAGTGTCCCAATATGTACAACAGTGTTTGTTTTATGTCGTTGGGTCCAACACTCACACTCAATAATATCTATTTACGATCATATCTTCAAGCTGGACTGTTCCTTTGTTACTATAACATGAACTTCTTTGTCTCTTTTGACTAATTTTAGTTGGCTCTGCCAAACATGAGAACAGCTACTTTTATTTGCTTTCAGAGTCCAACTGCTTGGCACATCTACACTTTCAGTTCATGTGGATCTTTTCCAGGGAGGTGAGTTTCTTGTGGACAGCTACCAGTTGGTTCTTGCTTTCTAGTCTGTTCACCCAGCCTGCACCTTTACTTTCTCTCTTTAAAATCACTCACAACAGTGGGTTTCCTTAGGGCACTCTCATGAGCCTATTGTGGCACTTTATTCATGTTTGTTCCCACGTTACCATCTCTTGTTCCCCCACCATGTTCACTGGCTCCTTCCTCTTCCCAAATATCACCCCTTTGTTTTCATCACACACACACACACACACACACACACACACACACACACACACTCTCTCTCTCTCTCTCTCTCTCTCTCTCACCTATCTCTGTTAAATCTAGATTTTACATATGACAGAATACATGTGACTTTTATATTTCTAGGTTTGTCTTAACTTTGCTTAACGGAATCAGTGCTTGTATTTTTTTAAATTACATTTGAGTGTATGTATGTGAATGAGTACACCTGCACACATGTGGAGATGAGAAGACAACATTGTGGAGTCAGGTTCTCTCCTTCCACCATGTTGGCTCCAGGGACTGAACTCAGATCATCAGGCTTGGTGACAAGTGTGTTAAACCATCTCCTGGTCCTGGTTCAGTGTTAAATGTCTAGTTCTTTAACCTAATTGGTTAGGCTTATTCTTAGTTTGGCTTTCCCTAATTTCTTTCTCAGCATGCTCACTGCTGGTTCATAGGAAAGGCAGTGGTCTGTATACTGGGGTATACAGGATGCAGGCTACTTCTACTCCTGTAGAAGTGGATTTTAAGTTGTGTTCTCAAGTTGAGTTTCATCCTATTCAGGCCATTTAAAGGATGAGATTAGTTAGCTGAGAACCACAGAACTCGTTATCTCTGGTTTCAGCAACCTTCTCCTTTCCACCTGTGTATTTGCAAGGGCTCTGACTTTAGCACTCTCTATAATTCCAGTCTTTCTTATAGCCAGTTTGTTCCCGGACTATTGCATTTATGCTGAAAACACCTTTAAGGACCCCACTAGCCCTCTACTAGCTGACCCCAGCTCTTCTAAGATGATGCTTCTCCCTTCAGCATGAGCTACTGCCTGCACCAAGTCATCTGGCTGCTGAAGGTACCTGGGTAGACAACAGGCAGAGGCAGTACTTATCTACAACCTGGCAGGAGACCAACTTTAGTCCACTGAAAATTTCAACTATGAAAAATGTGTCTGTTTTTAGATATTAGCAGAGTCAATAACTCTGCTATATACAGAATCTGGTTATATAGACACTCTAGAATCTAGAATTCTGGAATTTAGAATCAAAAGCTATGAGCTACTCTGGCTACAGTTCTTCTCTGATGTACTCTGAAAACCACAGACTGAGTAAGTCCTGATAGGGAAATGGAGAACTCCTCCAGATAAGCCTTTGCTGATAAGGGCAGCTGCTGGCCACACCAAAGTGGAACAGAGAGCGCAGGGAGCCACGGATATCACGTGATTGTAATCCTGATCTCTTTCAGCTTTAGAGACCCCCAGAAAAAGCGTGACCCATGTCAGCCAAGAAGGGAGCTCATCAGGCGTCAAAGGGGGATGGACACTCTGCATACTACATGACAGACACTGGGACCAGCCCTCATTTGAATAACTAAATGACTAAAAGCCAAGACTGGCTTAAATCCTTTTGAATAAATTAACATATTTCATTATTTCCATAAGGTGTTTATTAAGGAAAGCAAGACTTTCTACTTATCATTTCATCAAGTATTTCTGATTTATGCTTGTAAGATCTACTGTGTATATATTTTGTTGTTCACAGGTTAAAATTATTAACATGATGCTTCTGAATTACACAGAAAGAGCTACTACAGCATGTCCCTCCTATAGAGCCATCAATAATGGAGCTATCACTTTTAATAAACTTTCTGTGTTTTAGTCTGTATTATTGTAGCAACATTAATGTAAATATTTTGTCACTATAGAGAAATAGAAAATTAAAATTGCCATAAATTTATTTCCATTTCTTAAAGTATGTAATTATGAGGTTCCTCCTATCACATCCATGAATGGGACTTTTATGCCATAGTCTAGCAAGATTATTTTCAGCCAGTAATAAAATGAGCACTGTTAACGTCATTACAACTCACTTCAAAAACTCCCAAACTGGAAAGGAACAAATGAGTCAAAATGAATTAAAGACCTAAACATAACTCATAACTCCTTAAAAAAATCCTAGTAAAACACAACAATGGATTTAGCAATTTGCTCGGTATGACATCAAAAGCATAGTTAATCAAAGTGAAAAAGAAATACAAGAATACAATCAAACTTTAAAAATTCACATTTATCAAAGGACACAATCAACAGACTAAGAAGCACCCTGTGGAATGGAAAAATGATATGTGAAAATGATGTCTCTGATAAGGGGTTAATATCCATAACTTATAAAAAGCTCCAATAACTCAACAACTACCAATCAAATAACTTCATCAAGCAACAGGCAACAAAATTAACATTTATCCAATGATAACAAATATTAATAGCCATATGAAAATATGTAACAACATTAATCAGAGAAACACAACTGAAAACCACAAAAAATTATCACCTAAGTTCACAAAGATGGGCTGGGTTTGTTTTTTTTAAGGAACAGCAGGGATATAGAGAAGATGGAACTCTTGTGCCCACTGCTGAGATCATAAAATGTTGCAGTTACTACAGAAAACAGTAAGGTAGCTCCTTAAAAATTTAAAATAAGAACTATTATATGATCTACTTATATAGTAACCAACTTCTAAGTATACATCCAAAGAGTACAACTGAAGTCTCAAAAAGATACATGCATGCCCATGGTCACGGCAATACACAATGAAGTATAAATGTACACACACACACACGACTTTAGCTTGTGCCAAGCTGATATAAACCAACAAGGACAAGCAGAAAGAACTCTGAACTGCTAAGCTCTGTCTTTATCCCTTTAGGGTGCAAAAATTTGAACCCAAGTTTCCATACTTGCATGGAAAATGGTCTTACCTGCTGAGCCATCTCTCCTGCCCTTAAATAAAATTTCTGATGTTCATTTGTGCCCTGAAATGTATTATCATTACTATTAACATTCTCCTAGTTCAGAACTGAAGTATCCAAACAATGAAGAGGGCTACAAATACTTTATAGTATAGAGTTTTAAAAATGGAACCTGGGCCAAGACATGAATCAGTAGTTAGGAGGGCATGCTGCTCTTCCAGAGGACTGGAGCTGTTAAAGTACCTGCAACTCCAGATCCAGAGGGTCTAATGCCTTCTGTCATCCTTGGGCTCCAGCACATACACATACACACAGAATAGATTAATTTTGTATTGAAACTACGGGCCTAGAAAGATAGTTCAGCAAATAAGAGTATTTGCTGCACAAGTGTAAGGACCCAGGTTCTCATAAGGACCTGGGCTCCCAGAACCCACATAAAAAAGCAGATGTGGTCATGCACATGCTTTAACCACAGTGCTGGGGTGCAGGGCAGAGACAAGCGGGCTGGAGCTTTTTGGCTGCCAGCTTAGCTCCAGGCTCAGTAAGAGACCCTGTCTCAAGGGAATAAAGGACAGAATGAGGACAGGTACCTCCATGTCACACACACACACACACACACACACACACACACACACACACACACAAATAAAACTGTTTAGTTTTTCTTAAAGATCATTAAACTTTGAAATAGAGTTTCAAAACACAAGAATGTAGCACTGAACTAGGACAGCTGATGGTTTGTTCTAGCCCCATCTGTAGTAAGGAGACCGCTTGCTCGTTTCTCAGCTGCCCAGACTCCAAAAATAATCACACAGAAACTATATTAATTATATCACTGACTGGCCCATTAGCTCTAACTTCTTATTGGCTAACTCTTACATATTGGTATAACCCATTTCTATTAGTCTGTGTATTGCCATGTGGCTGTAGCTTGCCAGATAAAGTTCAGTATAGCATCTGTCTCTAGTGGCGGCTCCATGGCTTCTTTCTGACTCCACCTCCTTTCTCCCAGC